GTGGTAACTATTTACATCTTTTGTCTGAATACTAGTCACATTTTGCCAACGAGACTGAGCTGTTATTAGTACGCTTCTTTTTGTCTGTTGTGGAGGCAATGGAGGGCATGGGCCTTTATCGATATAGGCAGATCTATTTTACTATATGATTTTTTTTTCTTTGTTATGATTGTGATTCCTCATCTGCCTCTCGTTTTCTCCTTTATTCTACCGACAATTTTTTACTATAGTTTTCTTTTCAAAAATTAAAATAAAGTTAGATCTTAGAGCACTCGATGAACTTCTTAATGCATTTGCTGGAGCCTTGGGGGCCCATACCAGCTCATGATCATCATGTGATTGCTGCCTTTACATTATTATGGGTCGGCCACATTGAAGAAATATGAAATGTCTCTAAATGAGCATGGAGAATCAAAGAATCATAATTAACATGCATAAATGAATAACCATGTGACTGTTATGTATGTCTAAAAATAATAAAGATCATGGTAAATTGTAACATCGATATAAAGTATCAGATCTTGTTTTATCCAATTTTTGAAGAATGGTTAGTATAAACCTATTAAGAAAAGGAAGAAAGAGAAAAACATGTCTCTGGATCCAGATATATCTGAAGAGGACAATTATTGTCACCATCTGATAATGGTGTGACTGCTGTGAAATATTTGGTTTGTTGCTTCTGTAATTATGGTAACACTATGTTGTAGACGATGATATTGGTGGATTATTTAACTACTGTCACATTAAGGGAACCCCAAATATGGGGGCTGATACATTTTGTATCATAATGTGAAGTAAAATGAAGGATAATGACTTACTTCTTAATTTTAATATCCTTTTCAATAGATCGTTGGTGGCACAGGTTTTCTGAGAACTTTTCTATCAGGATTCTGAGTGGTTAAGTTATTTTAGATTAACTGTTTGGAGTAGTTTTGATCTTCCAACTATGTATCGCAGTTGTCAGTGTCTCAGAAAATGTAAATTGTCACCGTTGGCTCTGGAGCAATTTGATATATATTTATTTATTTAAACCATTTCTGATTCCTGGTATTTAGCAAATTGTAAAGCATAGTATATCTTGTCTATCCACTGAAATCTTTTGCTTGTAGGAAAGGGTTAATTTGAAAAGTCCTGGAGTTGAACTGTTAGCTTTTAGCAATAAAATCTTATTGGCTATAAAACAATGGCAATTTTCATTTTGAATTGGCTGATGAAACTCCCTTGCTTATGTTACTTTTGGACCAGGCTTCCAGGTATGCCATTCACTTGGCGGAGGCACGGGCTCTGGCATGGGTACTCTCCTGATATCAAAAATCAGAGAGGAATATCCAGACAGGATGATGATGACATTCTCTGTTTTCCCTTCACCTAAAGTCTCTGACACAGTTGTGGAGCCTTATAATGCCACCCTCTCTGTGCACCAGTTGGTAGAAAATGCTGATGAATGCATGGTTCTTGACAATGAGGCACTTTATGATATTTGCTTCCGGACTCTAAAGCTCACCACTCCAAGCTGTGAGTGATATGATATTCATCTTAATGGATGGTTTGCAATAGCCTGAAACAATTTAAAATGTTGAAGCTAACACTACACGTTTTAATTTGCAGTTGGAGATCTGAACCACTTAATTTCTGCAACTATGAGTGGTGTAACTTGCTGCCTAAGGTTCCCTGGACAGCTGAACTCCGATCTCCGGAAGTTGGCTGTGAACCTGATCCCATTCCCACGTCTTCACTTCTTTATGGTTGGGTTTGCACCTCTCACATCCCGTGGTTCCCAGCAGTACATTTCTCTCACTGTCCCTGAGCTGACTCAGCAGATGTGGGATGCCAAGAACATGATGTGTGCTGCTGACCCTCGCCATGGTCGCTACCTGACAGCCTCAGCTATGTTCCGGGGCAAGATGAGCACCAAAGAGGTCGATGAACAGATGATTAATGTTCAGAACAAGAATTCATCATACTTTGTGGAGTGGATTCCCAATAATGTGAAGTCCAGTGTTTGTGATATTCCACCAAAGGGTCTGAGAATGTCATGTACTTTTGTTGGGAATTCGACATCAATCCAGGAGATGTTTAGGAGGGTAAGTGAGCAATTCACAGCAATGTTCCGTCGCAAGGCCTTTTTGCATTGGTATACTGGCGAGGGGATGGATGAAATGGAGTTCACAGAAGCAGAAAGCAACATGAACGACTTGGTGGCAGAGTATCAACAATACCAGGATGCAACTGTTGAGGATGAGGGTGAGTACGAGGATGAGGTTCCGGAGGAGAACTATGAGTCCTAAAATGTGTGTGCAATTACAAGTGAACCAGAATGAGAATAGCAACCTTTACCTGCCTGTATGCTATTGTCTGGCTATCAATGTTTGTTTAGGTTTTTCTGCTTTGCGCTCGTGTTTCCCAAGATTATGTTGTTTGCTTTTTTCAGACTTTCAAATAAATAAACTTTTTCTGCTTTGCGCTTGTATTTCCCAAGATGATGTTTGCCTTTTTCAAACTGAGAAATTATGGATTGTTTAAAATGTTCAGAAATTTTCTAAAAATTAAATTGTGTTCGACCAAAAATATCGAGGTTAAGTCTTGTGGATCAATGTCGGTTTCAATCTTTCATTTTTTGGTCTACATTTAATCATTTCATAAACTTAATCCAAATTCGATATTAAGTTTTTGAAGTTTGACGTCGCAACTCGCAGTTGTTTTTGGGATAAATCTTACTTTAAGAATCGAGTTCCTAGGAGCTTCCCATGTGCACTGACTAATGTCTACACTGCTAAGCACCAAGCTTGTTGTGCCCGACTGCCAATCAGCAAACTATTTCTGGAGCTGATATTACTAGCTTCAGCATGGCAAGTGATAAGGGAGTATTGCTCAACTCTCTTCGAGCAGGATCCATCTTTCTTGTAATCCAACGAGAAAATTCCACAGCAGTATCTCTGAACAACTTCGCGGTCAACAATGGATCCCCCAGGTGCCCTTTCTGATATTGGGCCGTCCTTTTCTTGCAGAGAAATGACAATAACATGTCATCTAATAGATATCAGAATCTATAGCTATCAGCTTGCCTCTAAAGTGCAAAAGATCAAAGAAATATACTTTCTTTTGAGAAAAAAAAATGGAGAAAATTTGCTGATCAAGGTGTAATATTTTGATAATAAAAAGTAAATCAAATCATGATTTATGGTTAGGGTGGGTGAAAAATGCTTTTCACTAATAACAACGGATTAGTTTCTGACTGGCCAATCCGTGGCTTGGCTCAAACAAACATTTCCCTTCAGCAAATCTACATAGTACTTGCTGAAAACAACCAGAAATGGTTCATAGTCGGAGTATGGAAACAGCTGTTGATTAAAAGAGAGACTGACAAAAATCCAGACGCAGTCAGGAAACAAAATAGTCTAATTTATCCTAAACTGTGCACGACAAACTAATCAAATGCCCCAAAAGGAAGGGAATGGCCGCTGATCAATATAATAATACTAGTAATAAAGAAAGAAAACTATAGACATACGCATCAGAGTCACGGAAGCATGAGGTGCAAACACCGCTCGCATTAAAATATTGGCGAGCGTCTCATACCCAAAATAATCCTCATCATTTGCATGCTTTTCATTACTAGGTTCTACTATTTGCACTATTATATTGTAAAAACCATAAATTAAAGATTTATTTCCATAGAAGATAGCACAACAAAATGGTATTTGACTGTAATCTGAGAGTGGCATCTTACAGGTAGGAGTAGGATACTGGGATGTCAGCACTTAGCGGTGAGCTTCTCAGACTTTATACACGAAAGGTTCCCTTCCCTAGGGTTGCTGGAAGCCTTTGAAGCCTGGAAATGTTTAACTTAACCAGGGCTAAACCCTGAGGAAAACTAAGGTTAAACACATAGACGGTCAAGCTTTCCCCTCAGCAGAATGAGCTTCTCAAGTGGATTGGTATTTGGTAAATGGTAATAGTTATCCTTTCTTGAACCCACGCGCTTTAAATATCTGCTGCCAACACGATCCAATTAGAGAGTTTTTGGGTTGTTCTTGTACTCTCTTCAGTGGATAGGGGCCCTGAAAGTATTGCTGGATAGACATTGGCTCGGCTTTCTTTCCTCTCCTCTGTTTAAACAGATCAGTGCAGTTCTAAGTTATAGACTCGTTTGGATTCCTTCGCCAGGGTCTACTTGACAAAAGTACTTTTCATTTTCTTTATTTTAAGCGGTAAAAGCCGAAGACATACCATTCTTTTCATCTTCAAAAGGTAAAATAAAAGTTCAATAATACTGAATTTAGTATTGGTAACATGCAGATTCACCATTTAAGTGGTTACAGGTAGCAGATAGAAGCAAAAAGTTCCATTGAGTTTCAGGTCGAGTTGCCAGAAAATTTGGAAAAGCAGATTCAGCCAAAGATGAATGAGAACGCTGTATGATTTGTCCAAGCCTCATTGTCAGACTATGGTTAAAAAAGAAAAGAAAAAAATATATAAATTGCTCAACTGCACGAGAAAACAAGCAGCTGGATCTTCTTTCTCTAAATTGTTATTTCCCACTTGTGAGCTATCCACTTGGGGCTAGAGCCTGGCTCGGAGGTTTGGGCTATCGGTCCAAAACTAAATCGAGGAAACAATTTTAAATTAGGTTTAATTTCATCAGTGGTCATAAATTATAATATAATATTTAATATAATATTTTAAATTTAAAAAATTTATAATATAATATTTAAATTATAAATTTATTAATTAATATATCATTTAAATATTTTTTATAAATAATAAATAATGTATCATTATTTAAAATTAATCATATTAAAAGTAAAAACTACTTTAATTAATAAATTAATAATTAAAATACTACATTAAAATTTTTTAAAATGATTTCTTTGAATATTTTATTATAATTAAAAAATTATTTATGATGTTATTTTTTAAAATTATATCCATTTAACTAAGTGGAATATAATCTCTTTTTCCTTTCATTTTAATGTTAAATGTGCTCATAACGAAAAAAATGCTAAATGTGATCTTTCACAGGCTTAGCAAATCCCACGTTCCTGAAATCACTATCACCTTTCCCCAATTAAGGAATTTAGATTCTTTCGGGTCCCTTTGGCCTTTACACAAAAAGCTAAAAGATTGCTCACAAAGTAAAAAATCTTGTTTTGAATAATCATTAAAGATAATCAAGCATTTATGAATATTATAAGACTAATTTCCGGAAAAACCTCATCCCAAACTATTCTAATTTACAATTTTCATACCCCTATTTGATAGCCTACGTTAATTCCGCGGTAAAAAGAAAAGAAAACAAAACAAAATCCGAAGAGAAAAGCCAAAAATCATCTAAAAGGGTAACGAGATTTACACGCAGCATTGAAATTCTTAGACCTGCAAATCTGCTTCCTTTTAACCTTGCTTGTGCAGCTCTAGCCTTAGTTACTGTATCCAGATCAGTCGATTTTGAAGAGCTAAACCCGAAAGCTTCCTCCACGGAAAAGTTGAGATCAAGAAGACCAAGTGGGCCCACATTATCATGAACCCTGCTTAATCCTCCAGTGTTTGATGGTAACCAGGAAATCATTCGAGCATATGGGTATTGAGGATTCTTGTTCATTTTCGATTTGCAAACCATTTGGTCCATTATGAACGGTTGTTGATAAACCCTGGTAGAAATTTGCTGCTGACGATGATAATGATGATGATCCTGAGGAGTAGTGTTTTGAGTCTCCACGGAAATTTGGGTTAATTGTGTCTCAAAATTCAAGCTTTTACTTGTTTCCAAACGTGACTCTTCTGCTTTGGGAGGACTCTGACTTAACTGTTAAAAAATAAAAGAAAGGAAATTAAATAACAAATACCTAATACTAGATAAATTAGAAAAATCACGACCCCACCTCATTAAAAAGAAATGCTTTTTGTTTCTTTGCTTTCAACTCCAAGTTTTCAGCTTTCTGCTGGTTGAGAAACAGCCTCTTATTCTCTATATCCTGTTTGAATTCCGAATAATCAAAGATTAGTATTACATGCTTATGCTTAAAAAAATCATATACTCAAAAAATTGAATGAAAGACTAAGTAAAAGATGAAGATAATGTGGTGAAATCCAAGAAAAGTAAAGGACAATTTAATTAATGTCAACAAGAAAGAGAAAAAAAAAACTAACCTTTTTCAGTAATTCATTGCGCCGAGTAAAATCCTCCATCATCTCTAGCAATTGTTCTTTCGTCTGTTTAATTGTTACGAAAAAACCCAGAGAGCACACGTGTAAAGAGAAAACAGATAAGAAGAGAGAAAAGAAACTTATTGACGAGTGATGACCCATACAAAACAGAAAAAAGATGGCAAAAACAACGTACCTGTTTAAGACTATTAACAGAGGCTTTTTTCTTGGAAGGCAGAGGCTTCTCATCAGATTCACTTGGAGAGAAGGAAAGAGGTGTAGCAGGACTTGAAGTCAAGGCCTTTTTCATCAGTGCCTCAGTCTCATAGGTAGAACCAACGATGTTAGAGGGAAGTGACGGTGGTTGTGATGGGGATAGTTTCAGAGCCGGCAAAGATGTGGCGGCTACCTCTGGTTTTGAAGCATTAGATCTCTTCCTCTTGGCCCCCCATGTGAAAGAAAAGCGAGGGCGTGACTCGTATTCGAAGATTAGATGGGGCAGCTCCAACAATATATTGGCGACCTCAATCTCTTCCGCAGTGACAGGACCGTCACAGCTCTGTTCCATTGCTACCCAGAATCTCTCTTCCTCTTATAATTAAAGAAGAAAGAAAGAAAAAAAAAAGCTCTGTTATTTTAATCACTCTAAATCTTCTCCATAGAAGAAGAGTTGAAAAATTGAACCAGAGAAAGAGGAAGAGATGGAGTGGCTTGGAGCCGGGGATTCAGCTTAAAAAGGAAAATAAATAAGAAATCTATGGCGAGGGTTTGGGCAGTGACACGTGTCAGCGAGGCGAGGTTGAGGTTGGTCTAGGGTTTATGGGCTTCTTTTGCTATTCGATGGGTTTGAGACTATTGAGGTTGGAGCCAGAGCAATGCGGTTGCGTTTGCGTCATTCAACTCTTAGTTACCTTACCTAAGGAGAGCATGACTTTGGAAACTTGTCCACTCCTGTTAAGGAGCGTGCTTATTAAACGCCTCCTTATTGGCCATTTCCTTTTTCTAGTACTACTATTTTGGAAAAAAGAGTCCACGAGAAAAACCACAATTGACTCAGTAGAGGGTTTTTTTTTTTTTTCTTTTAAAAAAATACATATAAACAAATTTATGAATGAAACGTCAATTCTCTCTAATTTTGAATAATGTTTCATACAAATACTTTTGAGCTAAATTTGGTTCAAATCTTATTGTTAATTCAGTTTGAGTTGGTAACGTACTAAAATGGTAGTATTCAGTTTGAGCTGGTGGTTATGTCTTTCCCCCTTGTATGAAGTGTCTTCGTATCCATACTATTAACCGGTCCGATCTCCTGTTAATAGGTCAAATGGAGAGGAGCCAAATCCATTGGGAACAGGGTTCTTGAGCAACGGTTTGATTGAGTACTACTGTTCTGTTCGATAGTTAGATCAAACATGATTTCAGATGATCAGTCCTTGAAGCTGTTGTAACTTTGTAAGGTGTTGAAATAAAAATGCAGATTGGTTACCCTATCCAGGATGATCGCCATTTGGGGCCCAATTATTTATAGAGCCTGAAAAATGCTTTCTACAAGGTTAACAATTTGCATATAATTAGCATGACAAGGAAGAGGAGAAGGGCTTTCGTTAATGGCGGATTTCCTTCCTCTTTAGCCTCACACTGGAACTAGCAAAAGCTAGGGTCGTTCTAACAAAACATTAGTGGTTTTCTTTCTCTGAATCATTGGCAAACATCTGCCATTGTTTAATGCTTGTTTTTCTTACTTTTGTGAAAGAATTTTTAAGGTAGTTTACCAGTCACTAAGGAGGAAGAATAAGGAGACAGTGAAAATAGTTTTGCTGCCACAATGCAGGTTTCTACTTCTTAACGAATTACGGTTGCTCTGTCCTCAGTCAACATCCATTGGAGCCAACTGTCATTCAAGGGTAGTTTTGCTTCTTTTTTTTGGGTAAAGAAGTATAGTTTATTCTTCAATTAATGGTAGTAGTAGACATTATATTATTCGTCAATTTCAAGCGGCCGGTGGGGAACGTCCAAAATTATCTGGTTCAGATATCTTATCCCGCAAGTAATTACCGTATAAAAATCATAGAAACACATTTATTCACCATAAATTTTACTGCATGAATGGCTATGATTCAAGTACTGTAAAAATTATAATGATAAATAAATAATATGTGCCTAACTTTGAGCCATTCCTGATGTAATGACTTCAAGTTTATGAATGCTCTTGGTCCAGAGTCCTAACAAGCTATCCTGACACGCGGCCTTCTACGCATGTATTTGTTCTTTTTCCATATGGCGGAAACAGGTTAACACATATAACAAACAAAAAAAAAAAGGAGATTTTGAACACTTCCAATCTTCCATTGCTGTTTACCAAACAATGCAACGATCATTAAAGATCAGTTCAATTAGTATTATCACAACTAATCAATGAAGATCCAATGAGTTAAGTACCACAACATTACAAACTAGAAATAATCAGTTATGGTGGAAAACGTAATTAGTTTGCTCTCTGTTTCTTCGTTCTACTAGCCAAAACATTCTCGAAGTCATCATCGGAGCTTTCTTCCGCCTTGCGTTTCTTGGTCTGGTTCAGGGCAACTTTGGAATCTGTTCTCTTTTTATTTGAAGAAACGGGGGTGATTGGAGGAGTTTTCTTAACAGGGACAGATTTTGTGCTACCCTTTACAGCTGAAGCAGCTTTCATTGGGGAACTGAGCTTTTGCTGCTGAATCTTCTTTTGTTTCTTTTCAAAGACTTTCTTTGCTTCCACAATAGGGAGCAAACCAGACTCCATCATCCTGCAATTACATAGGAATGCATGCTTCTCTATAAACACATTCCATAAAATAATAATAAACAGAAAATATGTATTCCAAGATGAATGAAATTGAGTTACACAGAAGGAATTTCTTTTGTGTAAAATGAGTTTAATCAAGTCAACTCATACTATACTGATGCATTGATTTAATGGAATGGGTATAAGGAGACAAAACTGTTTAAAATTACCAGGTAAGAGATGCAAAAATGGTCATCATCATCATCCATGTAGCAACATATTGCAGTATTACACTTCCAATCTGAGTTGGAGAGGACTCTAATCACCTCAGGATTTAGATAAGACATTGAATTGGAATACAAAATAAGGGGTTGGGAATCGGTGGATTCTGACACTCAGCAAGAGGTTTGGAAGAAAACTTTCTTGTATTGCAGAAAGCAGGAATTACAGACCATTTGGCATAATACTAGCTGTTTCAAATGCACTAATTTTTTTTTCTTTCAGATCAATGAGTTGGTTGCAACAAAGTATTAAATTTGGGGCAATGGCACAATTAGGGAAATGAGAGAGAACTGATAATAAAACCTCTTGAGTATTAGAAAAGAAAATTCAATGCTTCTGATACAGAATGAGAAATTACAAAAGAGACAACTATCAATAGAACCAAAGTGTACAGAGTTCAGTTACACACTTGAAGTTGCATTAACCACCTCTGGGTAATTTTTTGCATTAATTCTATTAATAAATCTAACTGACTGAGCAGGAGATGTTGTTAACAAACAATTGTGTCATACATGGAATTTAAACTGTGAGCTTCTAGAATAGGCTGACAAATTGTTTTATATGCTGAAGATTAGTTGTATTGTAGCAGAATTCTGCTAGCTTGGATAAATAAAATCACAATTATCCAAAAAAAAAAAAATCTAACTGACTGAGATATATACAGTAATCGAAGTAAAAAATCTAGATCCACCACAGCTGGTCAAGATAATCCACTCAAGAAAGAAATGTCCATTTCATTTTCATTTATCACAGAAGTGTCCTATTCTTTCTTTATTCTGGTTTACAGATGCGCTTGAGAAGCTTATCATCAATTTTGTTTATTCACCATTATCAACTGCACCAGTCTTTCTTAAGGCAAGCCGCAAGCCTAAGGCAAATCTTTTGCAGCATTTAAGCAAGTCTTTTCACATGGAAAGCAGCATACGTAGCTTTTAGTTCTCAAAAGAATGAGATTATAGAGTGGACAATTGATAAAAATGACTTATTCTAAACATTATCCTTCACCTTATCTTGCACACAGTCTAGTAAAAAAGCAGAAATAGAACTACAACACAACATACAAATGCACTACACTACCTATAAAAGGTACTGAAGGAGAATTATGTCTTACCAGAATTGTGCCATTTCGCTATGGGGAATTTGCTTGTACATTGTCTCATAAAATATACGCAGCGGATCCCTCTGAAATTGAAGAGTGCAACAATGATAAATTACTCAAAAATAGGAAAATAGACCCAAAAATGAAAATGTTGAAGTCTAAGTACCTCCTCAGGAGGATCTCTCTTCTGACCAGGCAAATCATAAACCTTCCTCCCCCGCTTCCCTTCCTTCCCAGCTGCCGCTTTCTTTTCTTCCCCCTTTTTCTTCTTTTTCTTCAGCTCCTTTTCCTGAAAATTTCACGACGGAAAAAAACAATAAACACATTAATTTTTTTTATCCCTCAAAATCGAAAATTTATCCTTTTCCCCCAAATTTTCAATCTTTTTTTGTTCAGCAAATACCAAACCAAAAAAAGGTCCTTTTGACTAAAAAACAAATCAAAAACCTTATCTGCTTTATTATCGGAGCTTCTTTTGGAAATGGGTTTTTCATCTTCATCATCACTCTCTTCCCTTTTGAGCTTGGTTGCTTTGGCGCGTGACCCAGATGAAGAACCCTTAATGGGTATTTTAAAGTCTTCATCTTTACCATGGTCATCATCATCTACCAGCTCTTCTTTCTTCACTTTGCCTTCTTTGGGACGGGATTTCGAATTAGAAACATCAGCATTGTTACTATTACTTGAGAGTTTCTTCTTACGGTTCTCCACCATCGAACTCAAGATTTTCCTGTCCGCTTCATCATCTTCGGGTTCCTCTTTTTTCACTTGCTTTGAATCCTCGGATGGCATCCGTAATATTCTAGAAAAATCAGAAGCTTCGGTCTTTATTTCCAAAGAAAATATAGAGAAGAAGAAAAAGAACAAAGATTGTGATTTCTGAACTGTTTCGGCGAAGAATAAAAAACCCTGTGAGCTGCTTTCGGGTTCTTGGTTTTGCAACTGGGTGAAAAACTGCGAAGTGCTTCGTTTTAGGCCCCCCAAGGCCCAAGCCCTAACCAAGGGCAAGTTACTGCATCTAAACGGTGCCGTTTTAATAAAACAATGTCCCATGAAAATCAGCTATAGCCCAAAACGTGACACAGTCCCAAGAAAACTTCCATCTTAGGTTTGCATGAAACCATGAAGAATAAATTCTTTTTCTGTATATATATTTGCAGTCTTTTCGTTTTTAGAAAAATATTAATTTGGCATCAATCTTAGTGGGAATGAGTCCAAAAGAAAGGTCTTGGTTGGGAATAGAATCTAAAACCTTAGAATTTATGCCAAAGCAAATAAACTCTCTTTTTATTCTTTGAGATTTATATATACACATACTTAGAAGAAGAAGCCATGGTGAAACAGAGTGATGGGTTGGTTTTTCAAGGATAGAGGTCCTGGGTGGAAGCGAGGATGGACAGAGCAAGCATTAACGTCCATTTCTGCTCCTCCTTTACCTCTCCTTTCCATATTCGGAATCATATGTCTTCTTTTGATGGTTTCTTCTTATGTGAACTGCAAGAAAGAGATACATCATGCAGTTCTTAACTTGAAGTTGTTCCTCCTGTTCTTGCCTGTTGTCTTGATCTTTGCTGCGCAGTTTGCCAGTAGATGTGAAAGGCTAGTGATTCCTTATGCAAGGACGAAGAGGGAATTGGAATATAGAACCAGGAACTTGCCTTGGGGCATGATTGTGCTGGTGGCGGTGCTTCTGGTGATGGTCTCTTACCAGTCCTACTTTCATTCCATGTGGTCTCCAAATATTTGGAGGTCGGTTTACTAGTTTGATCGAGTGGTCTAGAGATGCTATTTGTTTACCTATTCTGTGAGGAACCGAAGATGTAAGTTGCTAGTGCGTTTATAAAGTTTGGTCCTTCGGTTATAGTTTTCCATCCTTCTTACGATAGCTAAGGCATTGTTTACCTTCCTCATGGCATGGATGATATCAAGTTTTATAGTCTTTCTAAATACCTTGTTAATCACTTTTCATTTACAAGGCTCTCTCAATTGCAAAATTCTGAGCTTTCCCTGGATGCACTGACCTGTTTTCCACATTATTAGATGAGGAAATTAAACATTTTATTGTTAGTTAAAGATTTAGGAGTCTGATTCATTTATCAGCCCATAAAATTGGCTTTAGAATTTTTGCACTCTACCTTCTGTATCAGCATAATAGCATTCACCACTCGTAAAAAAGATGTCCAGACAGATATGACAATCACAAACACTAATTCATTAATAATTAGCCATGTACAAATTATCATTGGTGCTTCAGGGTATGGAACAAATATACATCGTTTAAACTGCCAAGATTGCAGTGAATAAACAAAAAGTACATGGAAGAGCAAACTCCAAGCCAAGAAGATGGTACAGGTCATCTTGTCTTGCGAGAGGAGGCTTTCAATCTGGGAACTTTAAATGCAGAAGTGAACAACTTTGGAATTTCATAAATGGATAGAGCATCATCTTTTTTTCTCTTCAAGCTTCTGATTCCCTAAAAAACATAAGAAATTAAAATTTGGTTAGAAGACAGATCTTTCAAATAAGAACAAACAACAGTATTCACATATGCTATTAACATATCATAACAGAATAAGTTCGAACCGCAAATTAACATATCAGCAAATGTATAGCCTTCATGTTTTTATACGGGGAATAGATGAGATCAAGAACAGTAACTTTCTCAGTGGTCATTACTTAAGCTAGATTGATTACCTTTTCATTGTCCTTCACAAGGTCAGGAACATGAGGAGCAGAGCTTTCTTTCTCCACAATAACGTTGCATCCATCCCTGCCACTATTCTTACCTTCAAGAACAGAAGTTCTTCTGTCTGCAGTGCAACGTTTTATTACAGGTGTACAAGAAGCACTTCTGGACTTCCTTAACAATTCTACCTCCCTAGAAATTTTAGACACTTCTTCATGTAATCTACTCGCATCAGCCTCCTTCTGAGATACTTCAGCTTTTAATCTCTCAATTATTTCATCCTTTCCAGCATTAGATGACTTTAGCTCCTCCATATTGGAAATAAGTGCCTCAACTTTCCTGTTAGCTTTTTCAAGTTCAGAATGCTTGCTGTTCAATTTATCTGTGCATTGACTTTCCAGAACATTGAACTGATTCCATGCAAACTTATTCTCAGCCATAAGTGCAGCGACTTGAGAACTCTTTTCTGAAGCAAGATTTTCACATTCAAGCTTTAGCCTTCTTACATCATCTTCCAATGTCCTCAAAGTAACATATTTTGAACCACTATGCTTAAGTCCTGACATTCCTTTTTTGGTTTCTTTGGGGTCCCTTTGACAAGTATCCTGCGTACAATGAAATGATTAAAAAGCTTAGAAATTGTACAATGTATAAAATTATAAAAGGAGAAAATCTTCAGAACATACTTCTGAATTTTTACTGAGGATGTCAAACCAGATTCTGAAATCAGTCAGTTCATCCTCTGTTTCCTCTGTAATAAGACAATTAAGAAAATGCAAACATCAGACCGTTACTAAATAACATAAAACAAATCAATTTCTGATCAGTGTACTCAAAACATGAATTCAACTCAACATATAAAAAAAAAAACAAAATAACTTGAAAAAAAAAATTTTAAGGGAAAAAAATACCTAATTTCATTTTGCAAAGATGAGCTTCTCTGTGCTTCATTCCTACCATCAAATCGGCTTTTGCAGCCTCAAGCACACGCGCCATCTCTTTCGATTCCAAACCCCTCTTCATCTGAACACCAAAATATAACAAAAAACCCCATATTAACCCTCCAATTAAGGGGAGCAAAAACAACAAAAAACCCTCAAAACCCTAAATTGAAAACTCTTACATGAGAGATGTGATCTTCATAGAGGCGAACATCAGAGACCCACCGTTCATATTGCATGTTGATCCTATCTTCGAGAATCTTTCTTTCTTTAGCCAGCGTTTCAAGCTGTTGTTGCTGGGTTTTAAGCATCTTAACTAAACCCTCAAAGAGTTTATCCCACTTCTGACGTTCTGATGAGATTTGAGACCCTGTTTTAGCGCCCATTGTGGCCTCCTCGTTAATAGCAGAATTAGAAAGATAGTAAGAAGAAGAAGAAGAAGAAGAAGAAGAAGAAGAAGAAGAAGAATTTTCAGGAACCGTTGCACTTCGAAAACAGGGCTTCAACGGTCGATTTTTAACGTGCATAAAGCGAAATATATTGGGGCAATACTAACTTACGCTCATGGCGTACATTTACCTTTAAGCTTTTTGGGCTCACTTGGGTTTTGTAATAGAATGGTTGGGCTTCAATGGACCTTCGAGCTGAATTAGATATATAATGTTGGCCCAAATATTTTTAGGTCAAGTTCGACCCAAAAGTTAGTTTTTTTTATAAGTTGTATTTTATTTATCCAGTTTTTTTTTTTTTATAAGTTGTATTTTATTTATCCAAAAGAAGCAATAAAATTGCTACATACATACACTCCATATATACAATCAAATCATATTCTAATTATTATGCAATATAACTTTATTTATATTCCAAGCATCACATAAAATCTTGTTGACTGAGTCAGCAGCAATTGAATGCAATTATATAATCAAGTTCTAACAGCTTCCTTAATTAGCTCATATACTTGTTTTTCTATTCCTTCTTTATTCTTAAATAATTTGTAGTTCATTTCTCTTTATATATAGTATATATGAGCATTCCAAGCAATACTAATATTATTGATATTAGTGCCTTGCCTTTTTTCCTTATCACTGCCTATTTCAATTCTTCGGTCCACTCTCCAACCACTCCGTCAATCTTGCATAATTGTAATACCCTTCTCCACTTGCATATTCACAACAAAAAAAAAAAATGGTCCTTAGATTCTCTCCTATGTTGACATAGGCAGCACCTTTCATCCACCTCCACTCTCTAATTTCTCAATCTATCTTTTGTTGAAAGCCTATTTAGTATAATCATCCATGCAATCATCAAGTGCTTCGGGATATGATACTAAAACCAAATTAGTCTGTGCCACTCAACCTTCTTTTACTATTTTATCTCATTCCAAATTGCTGCAATAGAATCACCATTATTAGAGACCAGCCACACCTTAATACCATTTTCCTATTTTATGAATTGGCATGCGGTAGTTCGGAGTTAAAGTAGTTTCCTTTAGCCCCAACTGGTACCCTGTTGTGGTTCAACTTGCCATATATTTCTGCCTTTCAAGACATAGGCTTCAATCTAAGCTATCCATATAGATTTTTCTTTTGAGAAAATAGATAAAATATTCCTCATCATGCATGCTTTGTTCCAAGTGAGTGTGTTTTTGATACCTAACTCTTCTTTGGACTTAGGGTGGCAAACGGCTTCCTAACTAACTTTAGCTCCTTTAGTATTCCTCTCATGGCCTTTCTAAAAGAAGTTAAAGCATAGCTGATTGATCTTTTTTAACACATATTTAGGCAATATAAAATGTTTACACCAATAATTGTGTAAGCTGAAGAATACTGATTGGATTAGCTGTAGTCTTCTAGCATAAGATAAGTACTTACTAGTCCATCCTTTAATCCAAACGATGATCTTTTTAAGCAATTAAGCACAATCTTTTACAGTGAATCTTCTGGTGACTAGTGGGACTCTTAAGTATTGACAGGGAGTAAGCCTACTTTGAATCCTCTGGCTTGTTTAATTGATTAGATCTCTTCTCTACTTATTCCTATGGCATATATCTCACTCTTTTCACAATTTAGTTATAGCCCTAAGAACAAGTAGAAAACTTGCATAACCTCCTTGACATCAATGATTGAATCCTTGCTTCCCTTTGCAAAAATCAACAAATCATTCGCAAAACATAAATGTGTCAACTTGATCTATTTGCACTTAAGATGATGGCAAACACTCCAAACTTGGCAACTTCATCTAGCATTTTTGACAGCACATTCATTGCTAGAGCAAATTGATATGGGGAGAATGGATCCCCTTATCTTATTCCTCTAGCTCCTTGAAAATAACCCACTAGCCCTCCATTAAGTGATATAGGAAACATTAGGGTTGTAATACAGTTGTTGATCCAGCCTATAAATTTTGAATGCAATCCAATGGCTGCCAAAATGTTGTGGGTAAAATTTTAATCCAACGTTTTGAAAGCCTTTTGCAAATCAATCTTTATAGCACACCTTGAGAATAATGTGGTTCTACCATATCCCCAAGGAAAAGAAAAAGGAAATTACTTGATAATGAAAACAATGAAATGGGGGAAAAATTATATTACAAGGCTGAGATGAGGATGAAAATATATTTAAATGAAGATGATGAATAGTCACTAAATATTTAATCTTGATAAGCATCACCAATAATTAAACATGCAACTAATTTTTATTATTTGATATTCTATTGATTTCAAATTATTTATGTTTTTTAAATTAAATTTTAATTTAGTTAATTCATACATTTACTTAAGATGACATCCAACATGTTTAAAATTTAAATCTTACTTATAATCTTTTCTTTTATCTCTAAATTATCTTTTGTAACAAAAATATTTATGTTTTAAATTTTTATTTCTTTGAATATTTGGGAAATGCTCAAACTTGTTAAGGAAAAATATTGTCTTCAAACACGTTTGGCAATTGATAAAGCTCCTATCTATCAACATTATGGGGTGAGCTTAACGTACAAAAATTTAATAAATTTTTATAACAAAAATCTTATATGAGAATTTATATGGAAAGTGAAAATGCTACAACAAATTTGTTTTCCTCTTATACCAATCACAATTATGCATTCAAATAAGCTTCAATATATGGTTTTGAAATTAAAAAAAAAAAGTGGAATGTGAGAATTCACAACTAGAAGTTGCAAAAACCATATATCGACCCATAAATTTGTCCAAGCCAACAATTCTAATGGCTTGAAGGGGTGCATCCTCTTGAACTTCTTGACCAACAAAAAAATGCCAAATAATGAAATAATCAGAGCCCCAACAGCAGCAACAAGATCGTCAAATGCCATGGTTCCCATCAATTTGAAGGCAACGGCCCTACGATCAACTAACTTTCTCAAACTACCAAAATTTGACTCAAAGAGACCGTAAAAGCCATGTGTCATCCACGGATCTTCCAAGATGTTTGCTTGCTCCAACCTGTCGGTCACCTCCCTGCACCCGTCAGCAGAGATACACCAATTTAAACAGTCAATAAGAGTTCATAACTGGCAATTGCAGGTGGTGCTGTAGCAAGCTAATGATGCTTGCCATCACGTTTATAGCATGCAAGGCATGTTCTTTTCATTTCCTGTACTTCCGAGGTCTAACATTCTCTTCTACGTTCTGCAATCTCAAGGTCGTTGCACTGGGGTGTATTTTTTCAAATAGCCACCCCGCAAGTTTCATGCATTGATCTCAACTGGTAAGCATTTCTGTCTTCTGTTTCCAAGCCAAATATTTTGCATTTCACATCAGGGAGAAAGGACAACTAGCTCTGATGCGAAGTTTGTCTGATAATTAATGCAGATTGCTGAATTTTGTACTGTTGTTGGTCAAATTCTCTAAAATTTGAGATCAAGAATGTGTCCAGTAGGCATCGATGTCTCTCCAAATGGAAATGTCAGAAGGCTGGAGTCAGCGGGACCCATATTTGAGACTGAAGATTCTGATATGCAAAGGATGTTGGAAAGGCCCAGAGCAATAACTGTAGAGAGGAATAGATCCTTTGACTTTGAGGAAAGGCCTTCCAGTGAATTGTCAATTACCTCACCCCGTCATTCCCTCAAAATAATAGACCACCTTGCAGGTTTATCTCAACATGGTAGATGGTCTGAATTTAACACGCCTACATCACATACTTACTTTGAGACACATGCCATGGTAGTCGAGGCATGGGAGAATTTGAGGCGCTCGATTGTTTATTACCGCAAACAACCAGTTGGTACTATTGCTGCATTAGACCATTTTGTTGAAGAGCTTAATTATGATCAGGTTAATCCCCATTCTATAGCTTTGAGCTGCTTTACATTTTCTAATTAAACATTGTTTTAGGAAAGAAATTAAGCAGAATTTTATGGTTTATTACTATTGCTCTCTTTTGCAGGTTTTTGTTAGAGATTTTGTTCCAAGTGCCCTGGCGTTTTTGATGAATCGGGAGGAAGAAATAGTCAAGAATTTTCTATTGAAAACTCCTCACTTACAGTCATGGGAGAAAAGGATAGACCAATTCAAGCTGGGAAAGGGAGTAATGCCAGCAAGTTTCAAAGTGATCCACAGTCCGCAAAGGAACAGTGAAATTTTAATAGCAGACTTTGGTGAGAGTGCAATAGGGAAGAGTAGCTCCTGTTGATTCTGGATTTTGGTGGATTATTTTGCTTCGTGCATATACAAAGCATACCAGAACTCTTCCTTGGCTGAAATGCCTGATTGCCAAAGGGGAAAGCGACATATTCTGAGTTTGTGCCTTTCAGAAGGCTTTGACACGTTCCCAACTCTTATCTGTGCTAATGGATGCTGCATGATTGACCGCAGAATGGTTTGTTTCTTTTCTTACAAGTAGTTTCCATCCATTTTTGTTAATTTATTCATGATTTTGCCTTTGCAATCACCTAGTCATTTGCTTGTCTATATCGTTTGTATTTTATTCTTTTAAGCATCACCATATTGGCATAGTTTGATTGGACTTCCTCTTCAAGGTCAAACTGCCATAACATGCCAGCTGTGAACTCTAGCTGAACCTGTTAGCTTATATAACAGGGATGAATGCCTTGATCAAGTTATTTCCAGCTGTTATTATGTATTAATACATGGAAAAGTCACACTGCCGAAGAAAAGGACTGCAAGAATGGGGATAATATAGGTTTTGAAAAACAAAATTTCCATGTTTAAAGGCCAAAGTCATAGAGCGAAGTGAATGTTGCCAATTCCTAATGATTATTGTATATCATAGTTGAAAGTCAAAACCCTACCTGCATCTTTATCTGAGAAAGAAAAAAACTTACTCATTTCCTATTATATAGTATCTAATTTCTGTTGCTCGTGTATTAATCCAGGGTGTATATGGTTATCCTATTGAGTTCCAAGCACTATTCTTTTCGGCGCTAAGATGTGCTTTGCTTTTATTAAAACAAGACCAAGAGGGCAAAGAATTCATGGAACGTATAGTTAAACGCCTCCATGCCTTAAGCTATCACATGAGGAGTTACTTTTGGCTGGATTTAAATCAGTTAAATGACATATACCGCTATAAAACAGAGGAATACTCTCACACTGCAGTCAACAAGTTCAATGTGATGCCTGATTCACTACCAGACTGGGTGTTTGATTTCATGCCAACTCGCGGTGGTCAGGCCTGCAAAAATGGATTTCCGTTGGTTTTGTTTAGGCAATTGTGTGGCGATTTTGTCATCTTTGGCAACCCCAGAGCAAGCTGCAGCAATAATGGATCTTATTGAACCACGTGGGAAGAATTGGTCGGAGAAATGCCATTAAAAGTATGTTATCCAGCTCTGGAGAGCCATGACCGGCGAATTGTAACGGGTTGTGACCCAAAGAATACTAGGTGGAATTATCACAATGGAGGATCTTGGCCTGAGTACCATGATGGAAGGCTTGGCCGATATATAGGGAAACAGGCTCGTAAGTTCCAGACTTGGTCCATTGCTGGGTACTTGGTAGCCAAAATGATGCTGGAAGACCCATCTAATATGAGTATGATATCCCTGGAGGAAGACAAACTGATGAAGCCCCTCATGAAAAGATCTACTTCCTGGACTCGTTGATGCCTGTATTTTGTTATCCACAATGTGTCATGTTTGCACATCAAATGCATACTAAACAGACATTATTCAACTTACCAAAAGTTCATGAATTTGGGATTTCTACGTTAATTCGTCACCTGTGATCAAATAGTCAAACGGACAAGATAAGCCCTGGTCGCCGCACAAGCAATCCTCCTTGACCTGAAGTGAGCTAATCTTGTCCTTGTAATAATGTATTGATAAATGCAACTCCTGTCGCGACTACCAAAAACAGATCACCAACCACACGGCCTATCGTAACTAGACTAATGGAAAACGTGTCAGATTGTCAGAAGCTGCCTCACGATTTGCTCCTTCTCTTGCGTTCCTCTTCCTTTCTTCTCCCAGAAATTAACTTGGAAGACTTTCCTGTTCTGTCTTTCCCCTAAAAAAAGCTTTCATTTTTTCGCACTGTTTCTAACTGAAACTACCTCAAAAAAACCAACACGACTGGAACAAGAAGTTCGGGGGAGAGACAATGAAGGCAACCAAGAGTCCAATCCGCGCGGTGGCTACATGGGTCCGGCGACAACCACCAAAGATGAAGGCCTTTTTAGCGGTTGCGCCTGGGATGGCGGCTCTTTTGTTCCTGAGGATGGTCGTGGAAGATCACGACAACCTCTTTATTGCTGCCGAGGCTGTTCATGCTCTGGGCACCTGTATCCTAATCTACAAGCTTAGCAAAGAGAAAACTTGTGCTGGTACCATTTCTTTTCAAGTTTTAAATCTCTCTTTTTTAACCTTTTATCCAATTTGTTCTCTGGTTTAGGTCATACTTGAGGTGGATCCATTGGGCTTCTTTGATTTTTTTGACCATCATTGGGTTTCTTTGATTAATGTTTCTTAAGATTGCATTTCTTTTGGCATATATAATTTTGTCATGCACAATTTATTTTATTTGGGATCTGTTGGTGTTCAGTAATCATTTTGAGTCTCGATTAATTTGAAATTTGAGTCGAATCAAATTTCATAAAAAAATAAATTCTTTCAAATTTATTTTTTTCATTCATAAGATTCGAAATCGAAATCTTGCTTAAAGAAAACCAAATCCTTTATCACTCAAATCAACCGACGTTGGTATCATGCACAATTATTTGTATATAGCTGTGTCTGCCTCCATTATTATTAATATCAATGCACTTTGTGAATTGTGATGGTAAAAAATGGAATCTTTTGACCTTAATCCTGTTTCTATATTTGTTTCCTAACTTGGATAGCTATTGATGGGTAACTTTAATGGAGAATTTTAGTTATTTGGTTCCTTAAAGAGAAGTACGTTTAAATTGTTCATAGTTCATTTAACATCAATTACTTGCTTTGAGTTTGTCTTACTATTCGCTTCCCTTATGTTATATCTCTTTGCAGGACTTTCTCTTAAATAGCAGGAACTAACAGCTATATTTTTAGCTGTAAGATTGTACGGCAGCTTTGTCATGGAGTATGACATACATACTCTACTTGATACAACAACATTAGGGACAACCCTTTGGGTTATTTATATGATTCGTTTTAAACTGAGGTCAAGTTACATGGAGGACAAAGACAACTTTGGAATCCACTATGTAGTAAGCCTTCATATTGAAATTATGGACTATGATTATTAAAATATGCTATTTTATTTCTGTATTATTGCTCCATTGTTTCAAATGTGCATTTTTACAACGCACCATGGTCATTTATATCTTCATGTGGTCAATGTTGTGATAAGTCTGTCAACATTGCTGCATAATTGTCTCATTTATGAAGATATCAAAGTTTGGATTTTAGTTTCTGAGGGATTTGCTTCTTATTGAGTTTATGTAGATTTAGGTATGCCCTTGGTTTACCATTTAGGAAGCTGTAGATACATTGATCATGGCAAAGTTTCTTTCCTTTTCCTACTTGAGTCATTGATGTTTACCATAATTGTGTTTAAGGCCTTGCCCCCTAATTCAGGGAATACGCCATGAAGATTTTAGCTGTATATTTTCTCTTAATCTAACCCAAATTACAATAAGCTATGTCTCATAGAAAATATTTAGACTCTGCCAAATGATTGATGAGTTTTTTTTCTCTGTTTTTATTGTGTCACACAAAAATGTCAAAGATTTTTCTAAAATGTTTCATTTAAAAAGTGAAAGAACTGAGCTAAAGAGAAGAGATACGATCATCAAAGGAAAGGGTAGAGTCAATGAGCTTTAGCAATTTTCTCTGCTTTGGTGTTTACTGTTTCTCAAGACTATTGTTAAGCCGGTTTTTAATGTTGCGCCTGAAACAATAATCACAACAATACAGAAGCAATAAATAACAATCAATAATCAAATACGTAGAAAAAATAAAGTATATCAAAATTTACGTGAAAAACCTTCCAGTGTAGAAGAAAAAAAATTACGGATCATCAGAAAAATCTTCACTATCAAATAATAGTTATACAAAGTTCTTTTTCTAGCTAAAACTATAATTAATCAACAACTAGAGAAATAATTAGAGAAATCTCACCAAATAAGTGACTCAACAAATACACCATGGATTTGTTCTTAGAGAGCTTCAAACCCGATTTTCATCGTTTAGAATGTAAAACTCTGAATCATAAACCTCCTGACAAGGTTCCAACTCAATCGGACCACGGATCGACTTCCGTTCAACCAACTCTCTCTTCTCCTTTTTCTCTCTCTACTTTTCTTGATTTTTTTTTCTTTCTCTGCTTGGTTTTCGACACACACTTAAAACAATCTCATCTCTTTTTTTATTAAGTAGTTAGGACACTTGTATATGGTCTTTCCTTGTAATTTATTTGTATATGCATTTGAGCAGATGCACTGATACATGCATCTTTGTTTTTTTTTAGCTTTTCCGGTACCTTAAACTGTTATTGTCACAACAGTTTTGGTTCTTTCCTTGATAGAGGTGATACCTTGTGCTGTTTTGTCGTTGTTTATTCATCCAACAACAAGTCATCATTCATTCAACAGGATTTGCTGGGCTTGCTGTGTTTATCTTGAAGCTATTTCAGTCCTGCCTCAGCTAAGGGTCATGCAGAACATTGAGGTAAGGCAGCACGTGATAGACACTTGTCTGTTCTCTTAATTGGATAGTTTACCCTTAACTTATACTGAGCTTATGTGAAGCAGTTTTACATAGAAGCAACGCTCCTTTGAATATATCGCCTTTCTTTTTGTCCCTTTGCAGATCATTGAACCATTTACTGCAGATTATGTATTTGCACTGGGAGTTGCAAGGTTCCTGAGTTGTGCACATTGGGTTATACAGGTGTTAACAGTAATTGTTGCCAGGACACTTTTTAGAGGATTTGACAGCTGACTCACCTCTTATCTATGACACTGCATGTGTAGAATTCTTATTGATTCATTGACATTCGTATCATGTAGAAGGGACTTGCACCTTTCATGGTTTATATATGCAAAGATTAATTTATGATTGATATCTAGATATCAATGTATTTTAAGTCAAATTTGGAATGTAATTAACAGATATCCTCCTGTTTGGTTTTATTCTAACGCTCAACAATGATTCTAGATTGATTGGCTTACATGTTTCATCTAAACGTATGTATTCATTTACCTAGGTATTCGACTCTCAAGGACACTTATTGGTTGCTTTGGGCTATGGATTATGGCCTTGTCTGGTCCTGCTTTCTGAGATTGTCCAGACTTCCATTTTGGCGGATTTTTGCTACTACTATGTTAGGAGGTGGGTTCTGTGCGTAAGTTTTGCAACATGCCTTAGATGTTAAATCTCTTGATATTTATTAAAAAGGTTCTTTTCGTCCCATTTTTACAGTCTCGTTGGTGGACAACTTGTTGTGCGACTCCCCTCTGGTGTCGTATGAACTTAAAGGTTAACTTTGCAGCTCCGCAATTGGGGGCATTGGGGGCTCTTGAAGATCCTTGTTTTGTCATTAGGATAGTTTGTGTTCTTTATTCTCTTCTGCAGCCACTAAGGTGATTATTGGTGGGGATCCATAAACTTGAGGATGAGTTACATTTACTCGCATACATATTAGAATTATTTCATCAAATTAACTATATAATATCAGCACTAGTGTTCTCATGTTGGGGCTTTTGGCTGGTTTTCTCTACCTTACTTCCAGCATTTAGTCTTGATGATGAATAAGTTGTTGAACAGCAATAAGTCACCAATAAAATGATCTGTGTTGCTTGATATTGTGTGAATAAGTTTAAATCATCGCACTCGTTTAATATCCTTTTGCCTTTCAAATGATTCAGATAAACTTTTCGGTATAATATTGCATAAAGTCCATTCATTCCATGTGCTAATTGCTAAATATCTTGATAGCCTTGCTTGTTTGTAATATCTGATGATTCGTGTGGACGAGGATGCCCACAGAATTATCGAGCCACTGCGTCTTAAAACGAAACTTTGCGTTGAGCATTGAAGAGACCTCTGCGCTCTTAATGTAGACTCCAGAAAGGGCATTTCAATGAAGCACCCTCCACATCAATGGTGCATCTTCGGGTGGGAATTGGGGTAGAAAGCTTTACTCTATTGAGATATATGCTAAAAGGGCAGGAATGTGGAGGATGGGCTTTGTCGTTGCTCCTATAAAGGCCTCTACTAAGGTTCAATGTCAATGAGAACTAAGGAAAAAATCTTGCATTGGATTCTGAGTAAAAGCTACGCAAGTAAAGAAAATAAACTGATAAAGCTACGAACCAAGAATGAAAAAAAAAAATTAAGTTTGAGTTGTAGTACGGTTTCGATAAGATTCATATTACAGCTCCCAAACCAATAATTAGCTGGTTGATACATTTCCAACACAGCTTGCTTCGGTTTTCTTTTTCCTTTGACCTGTCAGTGCTGTCCTAAAGGATAGACACAAATAACAGGGGGCCAAAGCATTATTATCATCGTGAAAGGCAATGTTTGTTCTTTCCCCCTGGAAATCATAATATTCTTGCTGGCATAGTTAAATAAGAAAATGATAATAGCAGGATGCCAATTTGAATAAAAACGTGTCATTGATTAATGATATCTTGTCCAGCTGGGACGCATAAATGTTCATGATTGATCGAGAACGACGAGAAGCCAGCTGTCCCGTGTTTTTTCCTTGAACAGTTGAACCCTTGTCTGGTCCCCAAGTCCCCCACAAGGCTTCGTTCCAAGCTGAATACTCAAGTTTAGTATTCCAATTTCAGTCCAACAAAGACGTCAATGATTTCACTCGTGCGTGTTTTGAACCCGAGGGCCCAAGGCTTTACCTTCTCCGGTCCTCGGTTAAGCCCTTTCCGTAGATTCATTAATTACTACATAGTTTTCCTTATCCAACTACGTTTACGATGATCTGGCAGGATATAAACTGCAAAAGAGTTTGACTTTCCTATGTTCACAAGTACACAAGGGGCCATGCCTCAGGTTAGCTATAGCCTCTGAAGCTGATGGATTAACCAATCAAAACAATCCGCAACTTTGTGTTTTGTATCATCGAGACTTACTTGCCAGATTGCTTTTCAAATTAGGTAGTGGGAATGGGCCACGGGAATCGAAATTATTTGGTGCTGGTAGTAGTTAAACAATGCTAAATGCTTAAAGATAAGGCCGCTAAAACAAGGCATGATTAACATCGAGCACAACTCTTAGGGCCGAAAAAGCCTGCTTTTTGTGCAAGAATTCAGTGAATTCAAACCCTTCCAAGCCGTTGAAAGTTGCTGAAACGATTGATAAATATCTGCCACTTTGGCAATAGATGCATAGCAGGGTACAGCTGTTGGTTGAAGGAGACTCCAATACAGCTGTCAAGTTGATTAAGGTGGGTGCTTTAAAATTTGCATAAGTAACAAAATTCTCATCTTTTTCCTACTGGACTTGACACGAAGGCAATTAATCGGAATCCATAATTGCAAGAGTGGTACACATCAAGAGAATTGTAAGCTAGTTGATGTTGTCACTCTTTTTCAGTTTCACTTTCATTTTGGTTGTATTGATGCGAGAGTATCGAACTCCTTAATTTCTATAATTTCCTTCACAGTGACCTGAAAAGAAAACGTAGACCTCCGAATAATATGGGCCAGCTGAATGAAAAATATGAAATATAGACACGAAAGCTGAAGCTAGAGGAACCATTGGTTTCCCTTACGCCTAAAATCACAAGGAAATCTGTTCTTTTGCACCAGATAACACACAAAGTGATTGTCGTTTCAGATATAAGGGTAAAGCATATTCCAAGAACTGATGCCAAGATAGTTGAGGATAACATCAGAGGTGTTTATTTCTCCCAATATTACAATCCGATGAATCCTTAAAACTTTACCTAAAGAAAGTCATCGGCTCACAAGTAGGCTAAACCAGCCTTATAATTTTAAAGACAACTGCATATTTGCATGGTTAGAATTATTTAAAGGTAAATATGCATTAAATTTTTTTTTCTTTCAACTCCACTCTCACTAGACACCCTCCATGTTCATTACTTATTACTGCTTATGCTGAAGAGAGGAGTTCAATTTAAAACATAACAAAAGGAGAAACTTCTTTATCTACGAAAGGGAAAAGCCACCCAATAATATAGTAGTTTTCATGGAGGCCATTTTTGAATCCACCGGCCTAGTATTAGCTGGCGAGGTGGTTGAATTATTCTTATATTTAAGTTCTAAACAAGTTTGCTTTTTACATTCCCATGTATCTAATAATGCAGCTCTAATATTTTCATCTGTCATTCCCCCCCCCCCCAAGTTTGGTCGTCTGATACTGTTCTGAAGCCACTTTATAGTAGGTAGCAATTACAATTGTATAATTATTAGGTTAATGGAAAAGAAATTTGCCAATATTAATACAGGGGATTTCAAAAAAGTTTGGTTTACTGAAAATCTTCTCCAATTCAGAGAAATGATGTCAAACTATAGTTCAACGGATGTTGAACCTCACCGACTTGCATAATTGATGATAAAAATGCATGCATCTATACTTCATGGTAATCTAATTAATTAGATGTTATGTGTATTGACGAGTTTCTGATTTTCTATAATGGCCGAAAAGACACTCTCGTGTCTCCATCATGAACAATGGCATCTTAAAAGCAAATTAAAGAAAATTTTGAAAGAATTCAAACTTTCCAATCAGGAAAAAACGACGTCAATTTGCCAATAAGTATAGAGATATTCAGTTAAGTCTACTTTAATAGAAAGAAAGTCATGAATTTTCATATATACTTCTATTACGAGACAATAAATTTTTAGAGCCAAGATTTAGTTTATTAGAAGAATTCAAGTTTTCAGGTCAATTCATTAACCCCACAGAAAACGATAGTTAGAAAAGCAAAAACAAGTTGCCACTAGATAATAATAAAATAACATCTGCTATAATTCATAAACAATGGGAAAATTGCTTTACCCCAGATCACTCCAAAGGGGCTTTTCCTCCACCAGATATTCCCTGACAAGTCACCACTGCACATTTCTCTTTTCTCTGCTCTTCCAAGTACTTGCTCGCCATCAGATTGCTTCGGATGTTAGCATGCACACCTAACCCTTTTCAATTACCCCCCCCCCCTAACATTATTGCTATAAATACGAGCAACTTCTCTTATTTCCATACAAAACACTAGAGACACTAGAAACCAAAGCAAGGCTCTATTTCTAATAATTAGGTTCTTAGACATGGCCATTTCTAAGGCTTTGATTGCCTCACTTCTCATCTCTCTTTTCCTTATCCAACTGGTTGAAGCTGATCAACTGGTAAGCTTGACCACTTTTAATCGTCACTTTGTTTTCGCTCCTTTCTTGAATAGTTTACACGGTGAACATATTCTTTTATTGCTAGTTATAACTTTAAGCTACATGTTCTTGTGAAATAAAGGTGACAAGTGGCAGCAATGAAACCGGTGCCCCAAAGAAAATTGGTAAATCTTTTTACACATTAAATATAATCAATCCTCATTCCTCACTCATATAGAGAAGAAAAATGTGTGGAGTACTACTTGTAGATAAGACTCTTCTTGATATATAGATTTCTATTTGGTTTTCAGACTGTAGTGGAGCCTGTGCATCCAGGTGCCGATTATCATCTAGGCAACGCCTATGCAAGAGGGCATGCGGGACATGTTGCGCACGCTGCAACTGTGTTCCTCCAGGAACTGCCGGTAACCAAGAAATGTGCCCATGCTATGCTAGCTTGACCACCCACGGTGGCAGACGCAAGTGCCCTTGAGACATTGAACGTGAAACGAATCTCTCCCTTGATGATAATTAATGAGTAGTCGTCTGGTGAAATAAATTAATAATGGTGTAAGAATAAATAAAAGAATGTCCTATGTAAAGCAAAATCTTGTTCTTCTTTCTTTTTTTTTTGGGCGCGATATTATTATATTTATTGTATTGAGTATGAATAAAGAAGTTTGTTTGTATAATATTTTTAAAGGGTTTTGGTTGGGAGGGTGTTTCGAAGGATGAGTTGTAAAAATACAGGACTTAATTGATAATTATATATTCTTTTAAAGGGGATAAATTTATAAATCTATGTCGGGTTTGACACTCTTCGTAACCATTGACTTGGTGGGTCCAATTTGAAATGCTACAATTTCTTCAAAGTCAAAATTTTGGGTCGCCCTTGATTGGTTAAGCCATTTAGAATTCAGAGTTACTTTTACAAATGGTTTTGAAAAAGTTTAATGTGCCATTTTGGTGGCTACTTTCAATGGAAAGACTGCGACGCCTTCCTCTCCATTGTCATAAACACATGAACACTTTTACATTAAAAAAAAAAAAAAAAACAAGAGACAGACGTTGAATTTTCTTATAGACAAACAGACAGAAGCCCAAAGTCTCTTTACATTCTAATCAATGGAACCGGGATCAAGCCTTGGATAGAACGAGCTTGTTGCCCAAATGCCCCATTATTGGGCCAGTCTCCTAAGAAGTCTTGGGCTGGGTAGATTGGCCGCTAAGCGAGTTATTAGTACGAGATCGAGACTCGAAAGAGGCCATTGTCGAGAGAAATCTGGAAATTTTTCGGGGAGCACAAGCAAAAGTATGAATACGAGTGGGAAATATTTCAAATGTGTTGAGCCAAAAAGCACTTTCTAGACTCGCTATATGCTTTTGCCATGTTAATTTCAAGATACTATCATATCACAGCTGCTTTAAGCAGCCGCGAAAGCAAAGCAAAGTTGAACCTGGAAAGCCCTATGCTAACATCCGTCTCCTTTCCTCCTATTCGGATTTCTCTAATCTTATTCCAAGTAGAAGGAATTTTTTTCCTGCATTTCAGAGGGCTTCGATGAAGAGGGGGCGTTGGAAAGGTTTGTACCACATGCAATAATGGCAGTTTGCAGGTCGAATTGAACCATTTTATGCAAACACGACGTCCCCAAAACAACGGGAATCTTGAACGACCTGGAACCAACATCCATCAAGCAATAACCAAATTCCATTTATAACTCCACATGGTTGTAGACGCTATATGGAAAAGGATGCAATTTTCTGATAAGAATTCCTCTTCACATGACTTGACATCAACGCGGGAACGCGTCGTGGGACTTTTTGAAAGAAATTTAAAGGTGAAAAACTAGTTGGATGTTAATCATATATGAGTGTAGAGATTCATGTTAATCACCCTTTTTTGTTCTTGATATTTACAAATCATTCTCAATGGATCAATTTCGTTCATTTATTTTTTGAACAATAACAACAATCACGAATTGAAAACATTAAAATTAGGATAATAATGCCATATCCCATAATTATCCTACCAAGTGTACACATGACAATTGACATACCAACCTCCCCCATTGACCCATTAGTCTGATACCTTTCCTTTTAATTAACCGAACTATAACTTCGGTAAGAATCCAACCCACCTATTTATTACCGCCACTCCTTTCCTTTCTCTCCCTATAAATACCAAGGCCATGCCCAGTCGATCTACTCATCGTACACAACAACTCCTAGGTTTTACAAGTTGCATGTAGTTCTGAAATCCAAGCAATGGCCATCTCCAGGACTCTTATGGCTTCCCTTTTTATTTCTCTCTTTATACTTCGTTTGGCCGAGTCGTCTGATCCAATGGTAAAGTCCCATTTCTAAAGAATTTTTTTTGTTCTTTTTATACCAATCATATATAAATTTTTGGCTCATTTTCATGTTTCACAGATGATCACGAATATGGTAGACAATTCTCTCACTGATGACAAAATAGGTAATGACGTCCTTCATTTTATAACAAAACCGATTGATTCAATTTTGATTAAACTTTATAAATTTGTAAATGTTGCTTATGTTTATGGTTTAGATTGTGATGGAGCTTGTGATGTGAGATGCAAGTTATCGTCGAGGCCGAACCTTTGCAAGAGGGCGTGTGGAACATGTTGTGCTCGATGCAACTGCGTTCCTCCGGGCACCTACGGTAACTACGACGTGTGTCCGTGCTACCGTGACATGACCACTCATGGTGGCAAACACAAATGCCCTTAGATAACCCTTATGCGTCCTCTTCATCTGCTTTTCAAGTACTCAAAGTTAAATTTGGAATAAGATAACGACAATGTTATATACAATAATTAATAAAAAAGTAAAAAGCACGGTTGTAGCTACTTGCTTCGGCTTTTAATTATAGTGAAGATTCCTATGTTTGTGGCTTACTTTTCCCTGCACAAATATTGGTTTTCGTCCAAATAATTCACTAATTAATACATCTCAAATCAAATATATTTTATTGCTAGAAAATTTTGATAATAAAATTTCATGAAAATAAATAGTCTAAAACATTGTTTCCAACTAAAATATCATGATTCAAATATAATCCTTTGAGATATCAAAATTTTCTTTCATCGAAACAAAAGTTAATGCAGTTGATTATGTATTCAAAATCAAGTGACTTTGGAATTATTTCTCGTGCAACTAATTAATTAATTAGAAAATTAAATAAACATTATTAGAAAATAAAAAAAAAAGTCCAAATCTAGTTATAGATGCAAACTCATTCAGCTTAATTGATTTTAATTAAAGGAATTTTCACTTGGTTCCAAATTGAATTCCCTTACCAACTTGTGAATAATGTTGCATAGAAATAAGTTAGGTAAATTCAAATCCCATGACTGAAATTAACGCCAAAGATAATTTCTTTTTCCTCTTTTGGATTACCAACTTTCATTGATCACAAAGTCCAATTGGGCCAATTTGGGCTGACCCATCTGTCTTAAAAGCTCGACAAAATAAACTGTGACCTAGAATGGAGTTTATTTTCAGATTGAATTTAATCGAGTTTATGGAATCAGAGTATATATGTAGGTTTATCAGGGATTATTGTCCCAACAATAACAAAGCTTTGATTGGTACGTAGTACTATTTACTAAGTTTTAATCTTAGGATAGATATAATAATTAATGTATTTGTATAATATAAAATATTAAAATTTAAATATTTGTATTATATTTTATAAATTATATTGACATAAAATATAAAATATATATTTTTATTTTAGTAAATTTATATATAATAATTATGAAAAAATTTCAGTTATTTTATTTTTATATTTTAATTTTATATTATATATATATCATATTTTTAAATTATTAAAATCACCGTAGAAACTTGTAAAAAGTCTGAAATGGAGGCAAAGCCATCAGGATTTGATGTGTACGATTTTTTCTGAGCACATATCATTGTTGTTGGAGTTGGTGAGAGGGCTCAATCAATCTTTAGTAAAGCATCAAGCTAGACTAGACTTAACGATTGCCACAAGCAGGACATAATATGATGGTTCGTTCGGATTTTCAAATTTGGTATTTTATCTTTGACATTTGAGTTTGGGACTTTCAATTTGTACAATTATATTTTCAATTATTGTTATTAAATTTGATATCTTTGTAAAGAGTTATATTTTTAATTTTAATAAATAAAATTTAATTTTTAATAATTTTAAATATTAAAAAAATTAAAACTAAACTTATTTTAATCAATAGCTCAATTAATAATGAAGCTTGATTTGTTTGTATTAAAAGAACATCTCATCAAATATTTTGATTATGTTACATTTTGTTTAACAATTAACGAAATTGAAATTAAAATAACACAACTCAATATAATATAATGACATTTTACTAACATTAAAGTATAATAATGGAAATTGATTTTGAATTATAATATAATGATCAATTTCAGCCTAGCAACAAATTTTGAATTGAGAAGCATGAATTGGACCGATCTTACCCAAGGTTCATGATTTGGTCCATCGGCGTAGGGCGATCATAGCTCACCATCTATCGATTAAGACCCACATAATTGCATATGAAATTGGGCCAATGCTCACTTACTTCACACACGCTACTTTTTTTTTTTTTCAAAATTATTACAATAAAACTTTAGGCTATAACCGTCTAAAAGCATTTAGAATTAGGGGTGTTTTGGTAAAATCAAATTGATTAACCTGAAAATAGATTTATATAAAAAATTATAAATCACGCACCACGCATGACCATGTCGGTACGTGGCTACACCGAGGAGGAGACAATCGAGTCCGAATCGGCAATCAAATACCCTCCTCCCGGTCTTTTTCCCATTAACTCGCCGACTCTCAGTCACTTCTTGTCCTATCCGGCTATACCTCGTGACTGGCCCCTTTTTTTTTTCCCTTTAGAATTCGCCTATCTATTTTTATTCACTTTTTTACCTCCACATGCCCCTCGCGTGTCACTCACCATCCCGCCCTATCACTGGCGCGTGCTCCCCAAATTCATCATGTCTCCCTTTTTCCTCTAGGATTAACTGGGAATGACGTGAGATTGGACTTTGGAGTATGCCAAGCCGTATTTTTCGATGATGCATTTAAAAGGCAAAGGTTGGGGCTAGCCGCATTCATTTCCTCCTGTTTTTTTTCTTCGTTTTTGAATGCTGGGTTAAACCTTCAATGGTGGTTTCAGTTTTGATCTAAAAAAAACAAAGGAAACAATGGTGGTTTCGTTGAGAAAGTAGATTCCTTGCATTAATGAGTTTTTCCTCTGTAATTCAAGTTTGTTTAAAAGAGTTTTTCTAAGGATTTGTACTTTTCTTTTGAATGCCATTTTTATCTCTACTATTACTTAACTCTCTTTTTTGCCTTTTTCTTTCATACTCTCTTAGTGCTTTGTATCTCGAAGAACCTGATTCTCTTTGATTTATTTTCTCTTTCCTTGGAAAAAACAAAACACAAACGCCACTTTTTCGGTTTTCTTTCCGGCTTACCTTGGAAAAGAAACTCATTCATTTCTTCACCTTCGTTTTCTTCTTTCTTGTATCTCTTTGTTACCGAATTGTACACAGGAATGCATTTAAAACGAAGCTTTCTCTGACATTATTTTTTTCATTCATGTAACTGAAGAAGCACTGAAATTGGAGAATCTGATTTGAGCTTTTCTGAGAGTGAATTTGGAATTTGGGTCGTTTTTTGTTTTAACGGTGAAGGCCGTTTTCCTAGAAGGAGCAGCCAAGAGATAGCTAGATGTTACTAATGTTATCATGACAATATGGTATCAACAGAAATGGACAAGAGTCGAGAAGTGAGGCGTGGAACGAGTCGGTTCTCACGACAACAGATTCATAATAACAAGCCAAAACAATCTCGACCCAAACTGTTCTTTGGTAAATTTACTCTAAACCCCCCCCCCCCCCAACCTTTTCCTCCCCTTGTCGTTTTCTTTCACATTCCGAAGAGTTTAGTAACAGGTACAACGGCTTTGTTTGTCCATTGATTGTTAAGGTTTTGATGGTGGGGACTTCGTTTGTTTGGAGAAAACGAAGAAAGAGAAAATAAGAAGGCTGAGTAGCGTTCATGGTAATAGAGGAAGTCCCATTCGCTGTCGCAATAGCTACCAAAACTCTAAAACTGAAATGGGAAGTTGCTGTTCCTGTGATTTGTCTTCTGATAATAGAGAAAATCAGTGTCCTTCACATTCACAACACTCTTCTTCTCTTGTCACTAATTCTACCACCAAGAGATTTAAGGTTCCCAAAAAGGTAAATCCTGCTTCTTTTCTTCACACTCTTAACAAAAATGAAAATGTTTCTTCAATCTTATTTATTTTTCTCTTCAGTTTTTCGGTGAATGCAATGCCGTTGATCATGCCTCTGTTCCAAGGAAGCTACGGTCAGGTGTGTAACTTGTGAATGAGTGGAGAGACTTTTTTAAATGTATATAATTATTCTAAAAAAGAAAAAGGAAATGATTTTTTTTTTTTTGGGGGGGGGGGGTGTTTGTTTTGGTTTTTCAGTTAAACTTGAAGGTTTTTTTATGTAAAGAGAAAAAAAGAGAAAGGTTTGATGGGATTAATGTTTTGTGATATTTGGAATTTTATTGACAGCCATGAAGAAGCGCGGTCACGAATCCATCTCCCCGCCTTTATCAGATTCAATGAAACTGAACCATACGCTTGTTGGAGTCGAATTACATAAAAAGGATGGTGCAAAGAAACACAAACTGAATTTGGTTGGTCAATGGTCATTAATTTCCAGGGTGTCTAGTTCATTTGTCATTCTTTTTAAGTTAAGCATTTGTAATTTATGTTGTTGAAACTGCTTTTTTGTAGAAACAAGGAGAGTCAGACAGGTCCACGAAGGCAACTGTTTCTGGGCCAATCACAAAAGATGAGGAAGAGGTTGTGGAGACCCTGTATGCTTTGGCAGGAATGTTCCCCGATGGTGAATCAATGGATAAGAATAAATTGAGTGGTGAATCAATAGAAGTAAAATCTTCAGCCCCTCCAGAGACAGTGGAGAGTCCTGTCTCAGCAATTGAAGGTTTTCATCTATTTCTAACAATTTGTAAGAGTTCTAGTTTGTTGTTATCTGTTGTATTAACTTATTTAATCCTGCAGTTAAAAAAGGACATACGAACTCAGTTTGCCATCTACAAGCTGCTGAGACTGTTCCTTCATCCACTATAGATGAGTTATCCAATGAAGCTGCTAAACTCAATTCAGTGAATGAACCTGCTATTCAAGATCAGCCTGACTTGCCGGGGCAGCAAAAAGTCCCATATGGAACCAGATAGTTCAATTTCTCAAATGAGGCTAAACACTACAAACCCTTCCTTGGCTAAAAGTGATACTGATGCTGAGAAGTCATCTTGCTTTCCTGACAACTTTCATGTTCTCTCTGAACAAAACTTAGAAACTGGGTTAGTAAATTTCTTTAACTTACGCTCCCTTTTCTTTTCTAGTGTGCTCTTTTTTCGCCCCTTCTAATTTTTTTTGTTGCTTATGCAGATTGAAGCAGCCCAAGCAACAGCGGACCAATCTTTTTGAGGGAAAGCCAGATATGGCATTTGGGGTAAGCTTTACATCCAAGTCAAAATCAAATATTTCTTTTTTTGATTAAGCTCAAACTCTTATGGTTGCATTGGGTTATTTGTAGGTTACTTCTGGTGAAAGCCAAATGGCACAGCAACATATGATGAAGGAACCCAGAAAAAATGGTAAATACCATCTTGCTTAAGAGCTTCCATTGCTATGTTTAGCTTCATTTGTAATTTTATTCACATACTCATATCCTTACACTGACATAATTTTGGTTCTGTAGGTCTTGCATTGTGGCCAGGCTTGTCTTCTACTTTGCCCCTTATTGCTCAGAGCCCTGGTTCTTCACAGTAATTCTCTTTTATCCTTATATCTGTCTGTTTCATGACCATCTTCATCGCATCCCTCATACTTTTTACTATATATCAGAACATCTGCTACTAAAATTCCAGCTTGGTTGGATGCCGCAATGTGTGGCCCCAGGACATGGTCACTAGAAAGTGGTTCTTCAACTGAAAAGGTATACATGTCAGATGGCCGTTATCTCTACATTCGTAATAGTTTTGTGCCATTTCAATCATCTAATCGTGTATGGTGAATGATGAGATGTGTAGGTTTCGAAAGTCATCAGGGATAGGAAGTCGATGAAGAGGTGTGCCGCTCATGTTTACATCGGTTGTCTCATTCGTAATTTACAGATGCAAGACAGCAAAGAAAGCAATCTTCAACAGCCTCTTCAGTTGAAACCCCTTATAGGGTTAAAGCAAACAGCTCTTTTTTATCCTAACAATTGCAGTAATTTGAGAAATGGTATAAATGGCACTATACCTCGTAGCGGTTCTGGCAATTCTGCTACTGATAGAAATTCTTATGAAGCTAGAAATGGTATTCTACAGCAAAAAATGCTCCATCAGGGACAGCGACAGGTTGCTTCAGAATCTGGGATGCACACTTCACAGGGGCAGGTAAGATCAACTATTGGGATTGCTTGTGGTTGTTTCTTTCTCACTATCCTGATCACTCACTGTTTCCTGGCAGAGTTTTGATTTCTTGTCTTTGTCGGCTGGAAGTGTTAGTATGGAAGCTAATAATAGCTCTACTAAAATTGGAAATGCAATTGAATCATTGCCACAACACCAAGTTCCTTACTTTCATTCACTTCCACAACATCAGTCACTGGGGCCATTCTCAATACCCCCTAATCGTTATACCTCCTCTGCTTATACAGACCAGCTTTCAACAGCAACGGCTGAACAGCAGGTTCTATTCTTTTTTTTTGTTTTTTCCCGTATCCTGCAAAAATAGGTTTAAGAGATTGGTTTGAGAACCTTAATGTGAATTGCATTGCAGCCCCTTAATGACTGCAATCATAATTTGTGGGATCACTATACCAATAATTGCATCCAAAAAGTGAGCACATCAATTGAAATTGCTGCATTTTAAGGCACCAGTTAATGGGACCGTTCATATTTTGATTATTTAGTAAGCACCCAGTTGAGGCCCCCTTATACATTTTCTGCGTGTCTGATCATTTCTTGTCATGACTGTTTCAACATCATGTCCTGGTGCTTTACTGTAGGTCCAACTGCAGCTACCTCAATATCTCAGTAACCCTATCCGTGGCCCTCCTTACACAAATAATTCAGGTGTTGCAAAACAACAGCAGCAACAGCAACGAGTTTGGGCAGCTCACCTAGCAGCTCAGTACAGGCCCTGTGGAACTTATCCGGTCTTGACTCAAGTCCCAAGTTGGCTAAATGGGAAGCCTGAGTCTTCTACGTTGATGCCCTCACCCTGTGCTCAAATAGCCATCCCTTCCCATTCAACTCTTGATGCTGTTGGGCCCAAGTAAAATATAGTCCCACAACATCAGCAGCCGAAAATTGCTGTTCCTTCATCATTGCCCTCTGCAAGCAGTGGTGGATTTCGTGCCGGTGGGCCATTGCCGGTGCAGTTACTTTGCAACAAGCGCCTCTGAATTTGAAGTAGAAGGTTCTTTCCACTTAATGATGCACGGTAACATTATTTTATTCTTTCAACTCCACGTGAGATCTGGTGCTCATCCTTGACATGATCAAACCGGGAGAGGTTTATTTAATCAACCAAGGCATGAAAACTAACGAGAGAGCTTGCTGGTAACTCTGAGATTCAGTCTCATAAGATAGCAGCAAGAAGATTCCTGTTGAGTTCCCTCTTAAATACGGTATTTTGATGCCCATTGCTCCATTGTCACCCGCTTTACAGTGAAAGATACAAAAAAAGGCTAATTGTGTAATATCAAATTGGAAAACAATTGAAGCTTCCTCATTTTTCGCACAATATCTTTTCCATGCCTCCATTAAACATTGCACAAACAGCTGAAAGGGAAGAGTAATGGGACACTATGTACTTCAGTTTTCTAATAATAAAGGAAGAATTGGCTGTGCAAAACAGGTGAAAAAGTATAATAACACCAAAAAGAAGCAACGATTGAGAAAATTTGACACAAATTACACCAACTCTCTTTCACGCAGAATCATCTTTACTCTAGCTTCTCCAACTCCCCCATTCTCTCTATGATAGCCTGCAAAATGCAATAAAACTAACCTCAGCGCTAGTTTCAAAGCACGAAGAAATACAGTAACAGTACCACTGCTTTGACTAACCATCCTAAGGGTAATGATGATGATAGAGAAGTAGATGACCAACAAATGGAGGTGAGGTAAAGAGATGAACGAGGAAGAATGAGAAAAGCTGCAATGTTGATAAAATAAACCATACAACCATCAGCAATTAAAGGTGTACAGAACAATGCGAACCTTTTTGCTTGTCTCTTGAAGCTCTCCAGCAAGAATGAATTCATCAAGTATCAGATAAACCTTAAAGAATTTCAAAAGAAAATGGTAAAGTGTATTGCAGAGTAATATGACAATAAACCACAATGCACACATTAAAACTGATGGGTGGTGGAACATATAAACAAATTTGTATCAACAATCAGTAAAGCTTACATGGTGACTTCTCAATGATCAAGTTAGCACATGATTATTCCAACAAATGAACAAATAAAAGCAGACAAGAAAGCATAACTAACTTTCACACACACAAGCTAAAGATTGCAGAAAGTAATTTGAAAATGCAGTTAAACAAGAGTTGAGCTTGAGATCACAAACTTGACCAAAGACGCCTTTCATAAATTCAATTGGAAACAAAGCAAAATGAAAGAAAAAAGAAATCTTTTGAGGTTATTGAAAGTGGCAGCTTCATATTAATCCGGTAGAAAATTTCAATGAAGCAAGTAATGTTCATGCAAAAGTTAATGAGAACATCAGAGAAGTTACATACCTTGTGAAAATTAAAAACCAAGTCAAGCTCACAAACGTTGCTGAAAAAATGATCCAATATCTCCACAAATAAATGGATGCACTCCAAATATGCCAACTCATTGTCCGTTATGTCCACACATAAAGAGAAAAACAATCCAGCATACCGCCTGTAGATGACCTTGTGCGTACGGAACTGCAAAAAAATGCATAAAATCGACCAAACATTCACCAATTGCATGCCTAAAATCTAGATCTTTGCCCCCCTGCTTTAGGGTTCTTCTCTAAAGCCATGATTAATTGAAAAAATAAAGCAAATAACCGAATAAAGTACAAGGAAATCACCAAAGAGATGGAAACTTTATAAACAGATTGAAAATGAGAATTGAGAATTTCACTAACCTCAACGAAATTAGTAAATTTTGGATCTCTGTTAACCACCAATCGATGAACCTGTAACCGTACAATCAACATACACAAGAAACCTAGCTTTTAAATTCGCCCAAATTCCAAACATGGACGAAAAGGGAAAAGAAAAGGTCAACATTTTCAATACGAAAGAAAAATGTAATACCTCGTATTCGACCTTGTGCTTCTCGGAATCCTCGAGAGGAACATAGTATTTGGCTAGACGAGTCTTGCCTTGCCTGTTTTGCAACAAAATGAATCGGATCTGCCATGATAAAAAACACAACGAAAAGATCAAAGAGTTCTTAGATTTTCAGTCAGGAAAAAATTGTCGACTTCGGGAAGGAAACGAGTTCAACAGATAAAGCACGTACCATTGTTGGAACCAAGGAAATTTTTTAGAAGCACGGAAGTGGTACGAGAATGTTTTGTTGTCAAGTTTTTTTCCCGTTTCACAGTTTGGCTAACTCGAAGGTTTGAAAGTTATACAAGATGGTAAGGAAACCTACGCGTGTAATGACGCAGACTGATAGAACCCGTGTGCTGCTTTTTTTAAAGTCGTTTATAACCGATGATATGTTTTACTGATAAATTACAGGTTTATTTTCATGATTTAGATTAATCAAATCTCAAAAGAGTTTATATAGGTTAATTCACTTAGACGTAATTTTTCCACCTCGTAAAAAAAAAAAATCAAATTTATCAGTAAAAATAAAAAAATAATATTATGATTGAATTTGTTTAATTTAACGAGTAAAATTAAAAGATTATCACATGTTTATCAATGATTTTCTTGTGATTTATATATCAAAATTTTGTGCCAAAAAATATGAACAATAGCACATACAATGGTGATACAAATGGAATAAAAATGTCTTTGATTTAACTATTATTGGCTCCATAAATACTCATCAGAATTTCAACCTGGATTGAATTTCTGAACTCACAATCTTTTCTTCATGATCTTGTTGGTCTCAACCAGATGGCTATTACACTTACATTACAAAATTGCAACTACTTTTCAGTTTTTTCTTTTAGAAAGATAAAATTACATGGCAATAATTTCACTTGTGGATACTACAATAATGGACATACTTGCCTAATAATTGTGGTCATACTTGGAGTTTGTAGCAGCCAAGAGAGCAGCCCCAATCCCAGAGCCATCCTTTGAATGCTCTATGACAATGTGATGGGATGTTTCGGGTCCAAGAAGCTCTGTTACAGATTCTTTCAAGTATCTTCTATACTGGGGTAGCGTTCGTACAAGCCTCCATCCATGATCATTACAGTGTTGAAAATATTGACTCAAATCTCATAAAAAATTTGTTTGAAATTTGTTAGAGATTTATTAGAGATTTGTTTGAAATTTGTCAGATATTACTTGATGAACAAGAAGACTTGCAAAAGAAGAATTCTAAGAGAAGAAAATTTTTAATATGTAAATTTGACTTACAAGAGAAAAATTTTAAAAGGAAAGAGATTCTTAATAGGCAAGTTTGACTTACAGAAGAAAATTTCTAAGATGAGAGGGATTCTTAATGGGCAAGTTTGTATAGTTATAAATAGGTGAAGTCTCTACAGGATTAGGTAAAAGTTAGGTATGAGAAAAAGATTTAAGAGAGTTGTAAGGTTTTATGGGATAGACACACCGTAGGAGTATTAGGGCTCTACATCTTATGGGTGTGTGTGTTTGTTTGTGAGTGGACTAGAGAGACTGAGAGGGTCCACGTAGATATGATGTATGAAAACATATGGGTATGTATTTGGTTGTGTTGAAAGGGTGCACAAGAATTTGGATTTGTGTTTGTTTGAGTTAAGAATACTTCATAGGACTAGAGGAGATTGAGAGTGTCTTATGAGTATTGATTGTTGAGTGAGGTTGATGATATGATGTATGTTTGTAATTCTCTACAACTAGTAGATCTTGTTTTTCATCCGTGGATGTAGGTTAATTGGACCGAACCACATTAATTTGTTGTCTCTTGTGTGTTTGATTTATTGTTTGATTTTACTTCCGCTGTGTGTGATTGGATTGGAGGCTTTTAACCCAACAAGTGGTATCAAAGCTGTGGTGATCCCCAACAAGTGGTATCAGAGCTGTGGTGTTCCCCAACAAGTGGTATCAGAGCTGAAGGTTTAAAATGTGAGAAGAGTTAGATTCAAGATATGAAAAGAGTCGAAGGTTCGAGACGTGAAAGAGCTGAAAGTTCGAGATGTGGGAAGAGCTAAAGGTTTGGGAAGTGCATGGTTTGAGACATGAGAAGTATCAGAGCTGTGGTGTTCTCCAACAAGTGGTATCAGAGCTGAAAATTTAAAATGTGATAAGAGTTGAAGATTCAAGATGTGGAAAGAGCCGAAGGTTCAAGACGTGAAAGAACTGAAAGTTAGAGATGTGGGAAAAGCTAAAGGTTTGGGAAGTGCATGATTTGAGACATGGGAAGAAGCAATTCTAGAAGAGCTCGATTCGAGAAAAGAGTTCGAGTTTAAATTTTGAAGATTGATGATTGGTTTGTATGAAGCGTGAAGACACAAGAGAAGAGAAGATAATTGTAAGACTTCAATTGTAGGTGGAGCCAAGCATGTCTAGCATGAAAACAGATGATTGATGGAATTTGAGTCAAGGTGGAGATTGTTGGGAATATTGACTCAAATCCCATAAGAGATTTATTAGAGATTTGTTTGGAATTTGTCAGATATTGCTTGATGGACAAGAAGACTTGCAAAAGAAGAATTCTAAGAGAAAGGAGATTCTTAATAGGTAGGTTTGACTTGCAAGAGAAGAATTTTAAAAGGAAAGGGATTCTTAATAGGCAAGTTTGACTTACAGGAGAAGAATTCTAAGAGGAGAGGGATTCTTAATGGGTAAGTTTGTATGGTTATAAATAGATGAAGTCTCTACAGGGTTAGGTATGAGAAAAAGATGTAAGAGAGTTGTAGGGTTTTGTGGGATAGACACCCCGTAGGAGTATTGGGGCTCTACATCTTATGGGTGTGTATGTTTGTTTGTGAGTGGAGTAAAGGAGACTAAGAGGATCCACGTAGATATGATGTATGGGAACATATGGGTATATGTTTGGTTGTGTTGAAAGGGTGCACAAGAGTTTGGGTTTGTGTTTGTTTGGGTTGAGAATACTTCATAGGACTAGAGGAGATTGAGAGTGTCTTATGAGTATTGATTGTTGAGTGAGATTGATGATATGATGTATGTTTGTAATTCTCTACAACTAGTGGATCTTGTTTCTCATCCGTGGATGTAGGTTAGTTGGATCGAACCACGTTAAATTGTTGTCTCTTGTGTGTTTGATTTATTGTTTGATTTTGCTTCCACTGTGTGTGATTGGATTGGAGGCTTTACAGTTCGTTTTCCAAAGATGGTACCTTTTGAATCGTCTTCTATCTTTTGGAGAATCCCCACTATTCCAGCACCAGCTAAACGTCCAGCTCGCCTCACAATGGTGTCACAAACCTCTAGGACTACCTTCCTTGAATTTAGGTTGGACTCAACCTGATTGCAAGATTGGAAAAGAATTGTGCATGGTGAAAATGATTTAACATATAATTTCCATAAATGAATTATTTTCAGAACATCGAAGCTGAAGTTCAAAAGGGTAGAGCAATGATAAGAAATTTACCTCCGCTACATCATATAGGATTGATCCAACAGTCTGCAGATCGTCTGTGTTGTCCTGCTGCATTGCAGATAAATCTGGGGTTCTACAGATCACAATTCAGAAAATAATTCAGCAAGAGTTATCAAGCAATTTTACTCGGTACTCTGTAAAATGGAGTTATTTCTAATGCTTAAATGAGTTAATTTTCAAATTCATCAGCATACATACATGAAGTTTCAAATTCCTGCTCTGACACTTTGAAGAAAAATTACCTGAGCACAAAAGGCGTGGATAGTTTTTTGGGCACGGATTCACCAAACAAAGAACCTTCTTCAGCCATGCTCAGCAGAGCTCTTCGTGCAATTTCACCAAGGTACATTCCAGAGATTGTCTTCTCAAATATCTACAACATATGAACAATAATTGATACATCATAGAGCCTACTTGACTGGTAGGAGTTAACATAGAATAATATGATAGAAACTTTGTGTTTGCCTGTTCCCCAGGATTGATGCTAGCAGCATCCATATCTCTATCAAACACCGTTAAAGGAAGGCCTTTTGAGAATGCTCCCCACTCAAGGTTGACAATCTGTATAATGGGAATATCCTTAAATCTTGAATGAGAAAATAAGCACATAGAGAGAAAATAGGAGACACTCTTACTCACCGTTCTTCCAGAGGGAGAAAACTCGCCTTGCAATTTAGGAATAGCATCCATCCGTTCCACATAGCAAGCATTTGTTCCTGTACCCAAAATGACAGCAACCATAACATCATCATCCCAGTATCTAGCTCCAGCCAAGGTTCCCACCGTATCATTCACCTACAAAGCCTGAATGAATTAGAAACTGATTCTATATTGATCTAGAAGAATTTTCAATGCATAAGGAGAACATACCATGGCAGACACTCGCATATCTAATCCTTTCCTATCCATAGCTTCATTCAAGCAAGCAACAACATCTTTTCCGGCCTGCATAGAGATTTTAAACATGCAAGAATGTGAATGAATGTAAAAGCCCAAGTAGCACTAACTTTAATAACAAATTTTACTACCACCCAAGATTCAATCAGTTGAGTTAATATCTACTGCACTATTATTGACAGTACAAATGTCATGGCTCTGAACTTAAAGCCTCAAACCCAAGAAAAAAAAATAGAATACAAACCGTTCCTGAAACTGCAAAACCCTTGGTCCACTTAATTAGTATTCCAGAATCAATTGATGTCTGCTTCACAGGGAATGAAAAAGTGAATCCAATTTCCCTTTTCCTCCCAGGAGGTAAGTGAAACTTTCCACCTTCTTTTTGTGCAAAATTTGCCAGCACAGAAGCAATAAAATCCAATAGCTCCTACAGCATCAAAACATACACATTTAACAAGAAAAACAGAAACAAAAAATGTCTATAAGAGATTCAATGCTCTTAAAAACACACACAAAAAGGAGCAGACCTCGGAGGTAGCAAACATGAGTTCTTGCGGGATGGAAACTTGCTCAAATTCAGTGGCGATCACGCGCTCATCTTTCCCACCTAACTGAATCCTCAGCACCCGAAAGTTGGTTCCCCCAAGATCCAACGCATAAAACAATCCTTTCTCGTTCCTTTCAACAACATAACTCTGTTTTTTCAGCTTAAATAAGAAAACCAAGTTAAAGCAAAACGAAGTTAAAACATTGAACCTTTTGAAAGAACGTACCCAGTAGGCAAGCTATCAACGTAGCTGAGGATCATCTGGAGATCGCTACCGCCATCAACAGCAAGGCCAGCACGGATATCAGCAGACATGGAGTCCGAAACGTGGCGAAGAACTGGCAGGGGAGTGGCACAGTCTTTCTGTATCTTGGTCAAGATGGGGGGAACCGCTGAAATGGCGCTAGATCGGACGGCCATCCTCAACCGAGGCACCCCCCTAGTGGATCGTCTGATGTAGAACGATCCAACAGCTGGTGATGTTCCAGTTGCGGTTGCCATGACCGACATTGCGGCTAACGGTTAAGTTCAAAAACCGGAAGAAAGAAAAAAGTGTTGTAAAATCTTTTTGAAAGGTTGAAAATGAAAAAGAAGTCATTAATGGGAAAGCTTGAACAGTTAGGTTCTAAAATTTATTTATTATAAAAAGAAATAATTATTCTAAAAATGTTTTTCCATTTAATAATAATAAGTAGTGTGACAAACTGACAACTAACAACCTAACGGTTTCTTTACCTCGCAGATGGTTTTTAGACACAGGAGAGTTGGGCTTGTCGGGGGATTCGGGTGGACAAGAAAATGTAAACACAACATCTCTGCTTTGTTGTTGTTCGGTCAATCCCACTTTCAGGCTGTTTTTTATTTGTCCTCCTTGGGATATTCTCATATGCGATTGGATTACAAGATAAGAGAGTAATTTTTTTTTTTTTGTAAATTACACTTCTAGCAGATAGTGGTTGAGGTTGATTAAAAATGGATCCTTGTTATATGCATTTGGATGTAAATTGAATAGTAGGCCACCCATATTGACTTGACACCAAAAATGGACAATTCAAAATGAAACCAAAAGGGTCTCAAATGGGCTATGCCTTTGGGGGATTCATTAGGAAAAGGAAAAATTAGGCAATTTACTTACAATAAAACAATGTACAGAAGGGCCCTGAAACTGAAAGTGTTAGATAGTGGGCCCTTAGGTAGGATGGGTATTGTAGTTAAAGAGTCCCTCTCTTGCGCCAAACAAAATAGGCGTCAGCCGAAATTTTACAAGACCAAAGCCCATCCAGCTTCACCTTCCAATATAAACAGAATTCCAGTGAAGTGGACGCGAAGTAACGAAGCTCCCTTCCGACGATATTTCTTTTGCTCCCCATATCTATCAACATTTAGCTACTTGTAACCAAACTCTCCATTCTTCTCTCTCAAATATCCTAGTTAACAGGGTTCGTCTTCATTTCTTTGCCAAAGTTCATGAGCATGGACTGTGAAGGGGGAGTTGTGATGATCAAGAGGGCAGAAATCGATACCAGGGCACCATTCAGGTCGGTTAGAGAAGCCGTTGCCTTGTTCGGAGAGAAAGTTTTAGCTGGTGAACTTTATGCCACCAAGCTCAAGGAGGTAAATTCGACCTGATTCTAATTCCTCTTTCTTTGTTTGGTATTTGATTTGAGGTTCCCACTTTGCAACACTGAAAACCCTTAATCTCATGTGACAATGATGTAATTCTAATAAGAACCAAGTACAAATACCGGTTATTATCAAAGCTGAATATTTTGTTTTGCCCTTCAAATTTTCTTGATCAAAGATCCTTACGGTGGTGTTTCTACCCCGAATTCCCTTATTTTTTTTTCGTTTTGGGCCCGAATTCAAGATTGAGAAGAGTTATGTATGCTATCTTCTACATGCTAAATCAAATAAAAACTGTTTATATATTGTCTGAGATATGCTTGCTTGTGGCTGAGTGAAAGTGTTATAGTTAAGCTGTTGTACTCTCTATAGTTTTTGGCTTTATCATGTGATGGAATAAAGGTGTAGAAATAAAATTAGTTTGGTGTAATAGTATAGAATATAATAATTATTAGGGTACTTAAGCTTTTTTAAGGAATCAATCTCTGACTCTTGATGAAGATATCTCCATTCCCGTTCTAGAATATATTGTTAAAACTTTGGAAAGGGAAGATTATCCAACAAGCAAGCAAGCAATAGTCTTCTAAATCCATCAGTTGAAGTTTGGAATTGTTTATATCACATCATGTTGTCATCTAAATTAACTAGTTTACTATGTTCATTTCTGACAGATGCATGGTGAAACAAGTGGAAATGGACCTTCCAGGCTAGGAACTGTTACAGCTGAGCTGGAGGAGACAAAACATAACCTTCAAAAGGCCAGAGAAGAGAGTTTGCTAATGGCAAATTGCCTCTGTTCTTTAAAAGAAGAGCTGGAACGAACAAAGAGAGAGCTGCAGCATATGAAGGAACGAGAAACCGAGAAACTAATGATGGAGTTTGAGATCGAAGATGTCAAGATTGTCCCAGACTCGACAAAATTTGAAGTAAAAAAAACACAAACATCTAATGAAGTAACAACAGAGTTTCAAAAGAAGAGATACGTTACATTTGCAAACCCACCTTCTTTGGCTCAAGTTACTGTTCCACAAGGAGTCGAAAAGCTCGAGAGACACCCTTCACTAAGAAAGAAGAAGAAGAAGCCATTGATCCCTCTGATTGGAGGGATATTTTCCAAGAAAAGAGGAAGCCCAGAAATTGCATTACCACGAAGTCCCTGAAGAATTCCAATAGTTCGAAAGTAATACTTTCAGATCCAACAATAATTATCAACTAAATTTTACTTGTTCTTTTTGTGAGGTTTCATATTTCTTTTGTATACACGTCTAGCAGCATAAGGCATAAGCAGGCTGTGGATGTTTTATGAGTCATACAATAAAAGTTCACAGAAATCACTTCATTGTCTACCTTATGGCAAATTTGGACAGAATTTCATCTTCAACTTATTTCCTTTATTTCGTAGACCACAAAAATTAATTGCCAATTATGAGAACGGAAGCAAATCTCAAATATTATATTGGGTAGCAATGAGAAGTTTACAGGTGTGCTCAACACATGTTATATCTTAACAAGTTAATGAAAAAATCTCCCTAATTTGTAAGAAGAAACTTGCATATAAATTACTCGTACAAGCTATAGTGATGGAATCGTTTTTTTGGCATGTGCAACATGGGGTTTGCTTGGCTTCAATACCGTCTATATATATATATTAGAAACTGACCAAACAGCTGCTCTTATGTGTTTCCACTGTGGCTCCTCCATGTCTCTTTAGAATCAATATAACCTTAAAGACTGACAAATGGGCCGTGTTTCCGGGCCAAATTTGGACTTCCATTTGTTTTGAGTTGGGTTCGTCTAGGGATTCAGATCCAAACACGAACATCATCGTCAATTCGTTCTGTGTTTAGCCATTAAAACTTTTTGCTTAAACCCTAGACGTTAAGGACTTGTGTAGTTTTAGGGAAAATTGGAATGCCAACTACTTAGATTATGTTCTACAAAACCTAAATCCTAAGTAACTGAAGTTTTCCTTTTCATTTTCTGTTTTGTAAATTTAATTATTTATCCTATTCTTTTCAACACCAGCAAAATAAAGGATCCGACATGTCCGAAAATAAACCTCAATCGGACACGATTCAAAATCGTAGTGTAACCTGGGAAGGTTGCAACGTATTGCTCGACATCAACGATGGCGATCGCCTTGTTTTCGCTCGTCTCTCTGCCGGCTCGTAAGCTGCCTTTTTTTAAACAATTGCTTTACTGAAATACTAGTATTAAATATAATTCTTTAATTTGGTTAATGAAAATTGTTGCAGAACCTTGAAAATTGGGAACAAGACATGCTCTTTGCAACCTTTGATTGGATGTCCCTTTGGGTCTCGGTTTCAACTTGAAAGCGGAAAGGAAAGGCCTTATCTTTCCCGCTTTATTCCCCCCACTGAAGGTTTGTTCTTTTTTATGGCTTAATCTTTTGCTTTGCTTTAGTTGATTTCAGGGTCATTCTAAAAGGATAGTATTTCGCAGAGAATAATGTTGAAGATGAAGGAGGTTGTCGATTACAAGAAGAATCCCGAGACAACCGAGCAATAATTGATAACAATCAAGCCCAAAGCCTCACCGGTGAAGATATAGACGCAATGCGGAGGTGAGAAACTTTGTTTTTTTTTTTTTCTTGTTTGTGGTAAGTTGTAGGCTTTTTGTGTACATGAAGCTTCACTGATTGCTTATTCTCTTATGATGCAGACAGGGGACAACTGGGAATGAAATTGTTGAGGCTCTCATTGCTAACAGTTCTACTTTTGAAAAGAAAACACAGTTCTCGCAGGTTAGTTCACATCATGCTCAGACATTTTTCAATGGGTAGCAATCTTGAATATAGTCTGGCTTGGTAGACTAATAAGTATTTTTGTGTTTTATCTGCAGGAAAAGTATAGGCTTAAGAAGCAAAAGAAATATGCACCCAGAGTTCTTCTCAGACGACCTTCTGCTCGAAGGTAATTGTGTGATTCTTAACTCAAGCGGCTTTTCTGAGATGTGGTTTTTATCTTGTCTCGCTTTGCTGATGTGCGTTTTGCCACTTTGTATCAGTATATGTGAGGCATACTTCAAGAAATATCCAGCTCGAATTGGGTAATTATCATATGGTGGTAACTATGTTTTGATCATTTACACAAACATATCAATTAGAATTCTTTTGTTCTTCCTTGCCTATGATTCAGATTTTTGCGATTGGATGCGTTTTCCCTGTTGCTTTCAATGGCTAACATTACTGCAAACTCAGATGTCCTTGTAGTAGATATGGTAGGTGGACTTCTTACTGGTGCTGTGGCAGAGCGTTTAGGAGGTATGGAACTTGTTTAATTTCCTAGAGTCATTTGAATTTTGTAACTGGAACCACAAGACTTATCATGATAAAGAGCAGTGTGCTATTGCTAATAAAATATGGTAATATTTTACATTCATTTTTGTATTATTAGCAATCACGTTTAAAATTTTTAAACGTTTTCAACTATCATAAGCAATGTAGTCTTTGAAATGCACTTTAAAGCTTTTTATACCCAGAGTTTCTTTGTTGTGGTTATTTCAACTGTAATACAGCAATGTTGGACCTATTGTCTGGTTATTGAAGATACCTTTGGTCAGCAGGTACAGGTAGCGTGTGCAATACTTATATTGGAGGGACACCCTATCCTATGGAGATAATAAGGATGTTCAACTTCAGTAATGAAATTTGCAAGAGGTACACCACCAGTTTTTGACTTTCCTAAATTTATATTATCTTATAAATCCAAGTAAAAGCTAGTTATTATTATCTCATTTTCTAGGAGCATTTTCCTTTACGAGCCACTTCTCTTTTCTTTTTTACTGACTCCCATACACAGCTCAGATACAAATACAGAATTACGTTCATGAATCATGGTATCCAAAATGTTTTCTTACTTCCTATTTGTTTCAGAACTTTGCTGTGTTCACTCAACGACCTTTGTTTAGCCCAAAATGGAAGTGGTCAGCAAGTCAACCAGCATGAAGATGTCTGTACTGTGGAGAGTCAATCTAATGTTAGTCATGCTCCCCTGTTATTAAGTTTATTCTTTTTCTGAAGCCCCCCTAAATGTATCACAATGCTTTCTTTAGGAGGAAACATCCTTATCAGTTAGCACGGAAGAGGTTCATCTTTCATCCGAAAATGGTGTTGCGGATCTTGTTCCTGAGAATAAACTTTCTAGAGCAAGCAAAACTTGCAAAGCCCCAAAAGCTGGAGACAAGGCTCCAAAAGAAGCCATTCAGTTATGGAAAGAAAATGGTTTCTCTAGGTACTTACAGCTATAGAAGTAAAAAATTGCTTTATTAAACTAAGAATCATATAATTCCATGATTCTTACTTTCAATGTCTTTGTGTAGCCTAATCATTGCTGCACCAGAGAAGGATGCTTGGAGCTTAGTTAAGGAACTGCTGCCCCTTCTATCATACTCAGCTCCTTTTGCAATCTATCACCAGTATCTGCAGGTCATTTGCTTTAATTTTCTATTTGATTGCTAATCTTTAAATCCTGATATGAACCAAATTAGACTTCCATGTATGTAGAAAATTGATAGTTACAATATTTCCTTTGTGAAAAGTCTAGTTGGTAGTTATTAGTTTCCCCTTTCGAATGAATTTTTCTACTGTTGTGGGTAAAAATTTGGTACCATTCACTCTTTAGACAATTAATTTGATCAAACTATTTGTTTACATGCAGCCTCTTGCAACATGCATGCACAATCTGCAACTTGAGAAAATGGCAATCGGGTTACAAATTTCGGAACCTTGGTTGCGCGAATATCAGGTTACCCTCTCTCCTGCCTTAAAAATATTTTTCTATATGAATTTTATTGTTTCCTTGTTCCTTTATTGTAGTATTATCAGTCCCAATTAGAGTTACATTTGAAAATATCTGATGCTTTATTTGTGAGAATAAGATGCAGTCATTTAATGTTATCATGCAGGTTCTTCCATCAAGAACCCATCCCTGCATGCAGATGAGTGGATCTGGCGGTTACATACTAAGCGGGACTCGGACCTGTACAAGTCAATCGTAGTTCCTGAAAACTCAAAGGAAAATTTCATGTGTATTAGTGACTCAGCAATGGTTTTGCTTATTTTCAAGCCAAAAACCAGTTTCATCAAATGTATTATCATAGGCATTTTTATCTTCTATTGTTCAAGAAGTCGAAATCTGTAAAAATGCAGTGGTGTTCGTTCTTTATCACTTTTTTCCCTGTCTTCTTTGTTGTAGTGAAACTTGATAATTTAAAACACGAAACAATCATATAATATAAAAATAAAACGAAAAAAGATATAAAAATTATACGATTTAAAATTTTAACAAAAATTATATATGAAATTGAAAAACTCAAAATATTTTTTATATTTTTGTATGAATATAAATTATGATATGTAATTTTCATGTAAAATATGAAATAAATATATGAATTGTTAATATTTTAAAAAAATATAAGTATTCGATTTGTTAGGTCTTCTAGTTGTAACTGCTTGGATTTTGTTTCCAATTCTAATATTTGGAATGCCAAATATGCACTTCTTTTTCGATATCAAACAGCTCAAAAGTTGAAGCTCATACATTTTATAATGTCGATATCAAACAGCTCAAATGTTGAAGCTCATACATTTTATAATGTCAAAAATTGGAAGGGGAAAATGAAATGATAATGGCTGCGGAACTCCAATATCGAACGAAAATGGGCTTGGCCCAATTAGTCTGAGATACTTCTAAAAATGGACTAGGCCGCATTCTTCGTTGGATTGGAAAACCTTAAAGAAGGGAACCCTATGCCCATTAGGCCTAATAGTCAAATTGCCGGGTAGCCAAAAGGCGGGCCGGACGGATTCGAACTCTCCGCTTTTCTCAATCCTGCCCTTTTCCTCCTTCCCGCTGTTTGCTCTCTCTCTCTCTCTCCTCTTGTTTTTTCAATTTGCTCAAACCCTTCTCTGGAATCCGTGCCTCCCTCCCTTTTCCCTTTCTCTCCAGAAGGAAAAGGAAAAGCTGGCGATGATGGCGAATCCGAGCGATGATCCGAGCCGCGCACACCATCCTTCGCAATTTCAGTTTCAGCTGCTCCATTCTCATTCACAGTCTCTAAGCACCGAAAGCAATCAAAATCAGAACCAGTCGTTGTCTTATGGCAAACGAATGTTTCCTACACAATTAGGGAGGCCACCTCTCCTCTTCTCCTCTTTTGATCACACTAATACTCGTCTCGTCCACTCCGTGAGTTTCTTCCCCATTGTTTTCGATTTTCTTTCAATTTTTTTCATATATATAGATATATATATATCTCTTTTTAAGCTTTGATGCTTAGCTCATTCGTTTTCAGTTCAATTTGTATTATAAGTTCGATTATTGGAGAGTTTGTATATTACGTTGTTAATTGAGATGTTAGTTATATGCGTTTGAAATCGTTTTTAGGGCATTTATTGTTCAAATTTTTGCATAGGAACTTTAATTCCTGTTGAGGGTTTTAGGTTGAATTGTTTTCGTTATTGATGAGCCCGTTGGAGACAATAAAGCTTATTAAAAACTCAATCTAGTTGCATTTGATGTGGAATTTTCAACTATTATTTGATAAGTAATTTTTGTGATGAAACATTGTAACGGGTGTTAGCAGTTGAAGCAAACGAAAGAAAGAGAGAATGTCGAGGCTCAGACAAGTGGAAGAGCAGACGTTTCTGGTCATGGAAAAGTCGTTAAACATCCTTTCCTTAACCCCGAGCTTCACAACGGTGGTAAGCATAATAGCAAAGCAAAGACTAAGAAGAATGCCAAGTCTGGAGCTCAGAAATCAAATGCCGGTATTGTTATTTGATAACTGCTAGTGTTACATAAACAGACATTTATTATGGAGTTATTTTCGTTGCCATGCCCCGAGTTGTGCTTCAACCGGTCTTCCTTGCAGAGTTGCCCAATGGACTGAATGTGGCTGGTAACTGTCGATATGACAGTTCTTTAGGTTGGTTTATATTTTCAATACTTCTCCCCTTCAATTTCTTTGCTTATAAAAATGATTGCACTTATGCATTGTTGATTGGATGGCTTCATCTTTGTTGGCAGGCTTGTTGACAAAGAAGTTTGTGAACTTGATCATGGAGGCCAAGGATGGAACCCTTGATTTGAATCATACTGCTGAAGTGTTAGAGGTATAAAATATGTGTCTCTTGTAAGATTTCTGTCTTCCCGTTTCTACTTCTTTCTTTCTTTTTTTTTTTAAAGATCATGTCCTTTGTAAGATTTTAGTTGCTTATGTTCTAGAACTTTAGAAAGCTTCGGTTTCCAATACAATAACTCATTAATCCATTAACTGAATCATGACTGTTATCAAAGCAATTTTTTATGAAATTGTTTCAACACTACATCTACTGCCCATTGTAGTGAAAGAAATTGACTTATTGATGCTTGATTCCTGACAAATTCTTTATATCATCTTTGTGTCTTGTTTGTTCTCTTGGTTTTAACAGGTCCAAAAGAGAAGGATATATGATATCACAAATGTTCTTGAAGGAATTGGATTGATAGAGAAAACTTCGAAGAACCACATATGTTGGAGGTAATCATGCATTATCTTTCTTGAGTGTTTCTATGCAAAATTATAAAGTGATAATAGCCTGTAGGCCTTGTAAACAGGAGATCTGATGATATGGGGTCAAAGGAGTTGGCTGATCAAGTTACTAGGTTAAAGGTGCATACCACATTACTGTCTTTTGGTTCTCCTTGTAGTTAGTTTCTTTTATATTGATGCATGTTGTATCATTTCCATCTGTTTCTTGTCTTTTTCCTTGTAGTATGTATACCAGCATAATTCTATTGTCATGGGTGCTAACATGGAATATACAAGTGAGGTTCTACCTGGCTTTTCTAACTGTTTATTGTAATTGGTTTCATTACAGGTTGAGATTCAAAGTTTATATGCTGAAGAATGCAGGCTTGATGAGTACATAAGGTCTGGAAAAGTAGGATGTTGAGAGTTTTCTTATTATTTTTTTTAAATTTATTCAGTGCTTTAAGCTGTTATTATGTTTTCTCTACAGAGAAAAGCAAGGGAGTCTGAGGTCTCTGGATGAAGATGCAAATTATCAAAAGTATACTCCCTTCTACTTGACATTTTGATCTCAGTTTCAGATAGTTTGATTTAATTTTTCTGATTTTATTTGCATACCTGAACTGTAAGGTGTCTTTTTTTGACGGAGGAAGACATAATGAGCCTTCCATGCTTCCAGGTCAGTTATCCATACAATGGAATTCCTTTGGAATTAAATCTTATGTGATAGAAAATTTTTTGCTTACTATCTGATTATGCGTTATTCCTACAGAATCAAACAGTTTTTGCAATTAAAGCTCCCGACAATACTTATATTGAAGTTCCTGATCCTGATGAGGTGAGCTGTCTGGTGAAATGGGTTTTAAACTTCTATAATGCATTAGAGTCTGATTGGTTAGCTGCATTTATTCATAATCAGGATATTGGTTATCAACAAAGGCAGTATAAAATGATTGTCAGAAGTCATAACGGACCAATTGATCTGTACCTCCTGAGGTGTGTTTATCATGTAATTTCACATGCTTGCAAATATTTACAAATACTTGAATTTGTTTGGGGGTTTTTAGAATTCTTTGCCCCCACCACACTTCTTCTGCTGCATGCTTTTAGCCTTTTACGATAACTGTTACATGCTGGATTGTAGCAAATATGAAGGTCAAGTTGAGGATATAACTGTCAAACCGGATAAATCGGTGGATGCATCTTGTAGTTATGGTCTGTGTGGAGTGCAATGTCCAGAGCTGTCTTCAGAAGACAAAGCTAGTCAAAACAACTCTTCTAAAACAGTCGATTTGCTTTGCCCTGAGGCATATGGGATTCGGAAGATAATTCCTTCAGTCAGTGATGTAAGTCTATTTGAAGGCTTTGCAGTACTCGTTTTAAGTTCGTTTTCTTTTCTTGGAAGTCATAAATGTGCAAGCAACAAGCTGAAGGAAATTTGACTGACTTAATTTTATCTATCTTTAGCAGATTGATGATGATTACTGGTTCCTGTCAGACCCTGGAGTCAGCGTCACGGACTTGTGGGATACATAGAACTTAGGAGCTTTTAACCATTCATGTTTCACTACAATCAGAATGGTTTAATGGTCTATCTGACAAAACCAGTGAATACTAATCTGTTCTTCTCTATAACTTAACTGAAGAAGAGATTCCATCGTGTTAGAGGATCTCTTTCAAGATGAATGCACTAACTATAATGCAGCAAATTTTAAGCTCCTTTCCAATTGTAAATGAGAGGCAGGTAGTTTACATTGAACATGATATTACTGGTATTGTTACTAGGCCAAATTTCTGAGGTGTTAATTTCATAGCTAGAGCTTTCTTCTTTAAAGAAAGTGATAATTCTCGAGCCGAAGGTCCCTGGTAATCTTCTGCAACGTCCCAGCATGCATGGACAGGCAGAAGAGAGTTGGATTTAAAAACCCAATAGAGGGAAAAACGGAAATCCCGAAAGGAGGCCCAAAAGAGTGTGTGCATATTTGTAATTACAAACCACCAAAGTGGGTCAGCCCGGAAGAGAATTGGATTCGAAAGCCCAATAATAGGCCAACAAAAGGCCCAGGATACGTGGAAAAGCAATCGGAGAGCCCAATAAGGAAACAGAATAAAAAAATGTTTATCGTCTTTGTTACGATCTTCTCATTTTTCTTCTTCTCTCCTCGGTTTTAGGAAGAGCTGGTGACAATCTTTTTCATCCACTTTTGCCTTAATCATCTGAATCTTCACTGGATTCCCTGAAGATCGCATACTCAGGTAAGAAACTGTAGTTTAACGGGCTTTATGTTAATTTCAGGATTCACATCCGTACGATACTGATAAAATCCAATTGGGATTTCGGTTTGAAGTAATCGTGCTTCATGCTCAAAACTACTACCGACGTACAAAACATTTGTTTTGTTGAATTGGTGTTTGATGACTGCATTTACCTGGGTTTACATGTAATTTAATTTTACAAATGATTATTCTAATCCAACTTAATTACCATTTGGTTCAATATTTGTTAATCATTTGTAATATCTCTCTCTTTTTCTCCATTGGTTATTCTTTATAATTTTAGTATTAGGAGCATGATCAACAGTGTTTGTGTACATTTATCTTCATCTTTTTTCTTTTTTTTTTGCATTTGGGACTTAAAAAATTTACATAAATGATATAGAAAAGTATATTAGAATGTACCATTTGCTGAAGGGTACACAACTATGAAGCAATGTAATTATTATGCTTAAAATTTCTGGACGACTAAAGCACCACCATTTTGTTTTATCTATGTGAAGCAGTAAGTTTTGACATTGTTTCTGGTAAGCACCTTAAGCAATGAATTGAAATTTCATGGCTTTATCAGTGAGGTAGTTTGTAGTATTCATGCTGATTGAAGTACTATTCAGTTTGAGTGTACGTTGTAGTTTGTAGATGGATACAGAGGCCGGTCAGCCAGAACAGGAGCGCTCAAGAACAAGGTGGACAGCATCCCTTGATAGGATATTTGCAGATTTGGTAGTGAAGCAAATTCAATTGGGAAACAGACCAGACAATGTTTTTGACAAGAAAACTTGGAATAACATACGAGCTGAATTCAACAAGCAAACAGATCTCAACTTCAATAACAATCAGTTGAAAACGCACTTGGATGTTCTGTAAACACGCTTCTATAATCTCAAATCAGCTTATGATCAAAATGACTTTGCAGCAACGGAGGACTACTGTTGCATCGGGTTTGACCTGTGGGAAGACATTAGGGTACATTTCCTTTTTAACTTGCTGAATGTTTGTTTCTGGCACTTTTATTGTCTGTTCCTGAGAGGTTGTGTTTACAGGCACAACCTAGGCCTGAGCCTGTCAAAATCAAGGACTGTCCCATATATGAGCAACTATGCACAATCTTCATTGATTCATCTGCTGATGGGAAATATGCCCAATCAAGCCATTTTGAGGGTTTGGACAAAGCTGTTGGAAATGATACCAGTGGCTTAACTTCATGTCCAGAGGGAGGATCCGCACATCCTGATAATCCAACAACCTCAGGAATAGCCCAAAACAATTCATTCTCAGAGAAGTTGACTAAGATTATTGCAGAGAAAAAAAGAAAACGACAATCTGAGAAGCAATCTTCTTTGGATCAGAGCAAAAAGGATGAAGAAATATCTGAAGCAATTGCAGGAGCCATGTTTAATATGCTAGCTGCTTGGAGGTCGAGGAGGACAATTTCCACAAAACGAAGTGATGACAGATTTAGCATAACTAATTGCATTAAAGCATTGGATGAGGTAGAAGACATTGAAGATGGACTCTATTTTGCAGCTGTAAACCTCTTTGAAGACCCCAACTTAAGGGAAACCTTTATTTCTCTAAAAGGTGGCAATATAAGGCTGTCGTGGTTGCAAGGGAACTGTGGGAAACCTGCAACGAACTCTGTCTAAGTTAGAGGCTGAATCTTTGGCTCTTTTGGAAATGTAAAGATCTTTACTGCAAGTTTTTTAATCTTGGGGAGCTGGTTTGTTCTTACATTGGCTACCTGGTACATATTGGTAGACGAGATGTTCTAGTTATGGGATTACCAATGTGCAAAGGCACGTGTCTGCATGTAATTTTGCAAATAGTGGAATCGTGCTTTTGCATTGGCTGGCAACTGAATGCTTTTAGTTTGTAGATTTCCAACGGGTGCTCTATCTAATTCGGTGGCTCGAATCACAAACTAGCCGTTAGCACATTCCTGCTGTTACTGTTGACCACATGGTTCTTCCTTCACCGTTCGACTATTCTGGTGGCCCCCTACCTCAAGAGAGAGAGATAGTCAAGACGCAGCTGAACGGTGGATTCTCTTGATTTTTGTTACTTGAATTGTTACACTAGAGAAGAGAATGTAACAATTACTTACAGGCACCGTCGCCATTGCAGGGGAAGCAGGGTTGAGTATTTTCTCGCTTTGCCTGCAAAATAAATTGGCCCCAAATTTTGTTTTCAACTTTTCATCGAAGAGAAAAAGAACTACAGCGTTATCGATTTGAGTCTCGTAGAAGACTGGAATCCCAATCTCAACCGCAAAGCTGACAAGCCCAACAGACACTGCTACTACCTGAAAACAGCTTTCTCCATGTTACTTTTTTTATATATATAGAATTATTCGATATAAACACATATCATTAGGAAATAGTGATTACGGATAGAGGAAGAACTGTGTTCTGATCAAGATCAACGGCTCTGATGCATGTATAAGAGGCTGGTGACCGTTGATTTCTTCCACATTTAAAGGACAAAGATGGAGTGGAGAGCTTGAGTGGACAGCAAAGAAATGGAGGACGACGACGAGACAGCTAAGGATCTATAGACGTTTTGCTTCTTTCTTTTCTTTGTTTTGTTTCAGTAAATCGGATGTGCTTCGGCCCATACAGCCCATTAAAACTTTGATCGTTATCCATAGCGATCACTTACTTTACTCTTAATCGGCTACTGATTCCCCCTTTTTTGCTTTTTCATTTTAAACCTTTCTCTTCACAATATTACCCCTTGGATTTAGAAGCATCTCACTTTCTTCAAAGGGTATAATAGAAAAATTTTGACTGTTTATAATAGTCAATAGATTACGAAGTTTAAAAATGCTAAGCCGACAAGCGATTCGCTATAATAAACAACAAATACCACATGTCGGTCCCTTGTTAAAAACCCAGAAGCAGGTGAGCCGTCCGTTTTGAATCAAACGGTGATTAGCCAACAACAACGGAAAAATCACAGTGTTCTCCACCAAGGAACGACACAAAAACTGCTATGATATTATCACACTCTTTTAATCTTTTTTATTTTCCCCCAAAATTCTCTCTCTCTCTCTCACACCGCTAACGCCGACTTTAAACGGTTAGCCGTCGTACTTTGGCGGCGCTGATTTTACCGTTCGAAAACGATCTTCCGCAAAAACTCATCTGTTATTTCCTTGAGATCCTCTAAACTCTCGCTTCCGTGCTTTGTGATTGCCTCTCAATTCTGATTTTAGTACAGCTGTGCTTTTGTTTGCTTCGTCTTATTGAAAATATACTCTTTAAAAGGTACCAATCGCTCTCCCTTGCACTTCTATTTTCCTATATTTTCCCTCTCTTTTTTTGGTGATTGATTCCGCAATCCTCGGAATTAAGATTTCATGTGGCAATGCATTGTTGATGACAATGTTTTCTTGGAAATTTTTTCTTAAACCGTTTTTATTCTCATTTTCTAGGTTTCCTGTTTATGATTTTCGTCGTTTATTTATTTATTGAATTTGACGATGTCTGCGTTTTGTCTCCGATGATTCTTCGTTGTCACTTGCAGTTCCGTACAGTACGCTAGATTTTTGGTATCTAATTAGTGTTTAATACTTAGTATGTTTTTTGTTATAACTTGCGTAATAGGGCGAGTTCGGGGGTTGATTAGCTGAATCATTTTGATTTTTGAACTTGGAACATTACGTTACTTTTACTCCCCTGTTTGGTTGCTCAGAAAACTGAGGATAAATGGATATTCCTGGCAGGTTTCATGTTATTTTCATTTCCAGTCTTTGAAAATTCTTGCTCAACTATGTTTAGGGGTGTTTTCATAAGCAGTTAAGGGGACCTTTACCCTAAAGTCTTAAAATAGAAGATAAAAAAGTTAAATCCTTTTAGCATCTTTCTTTCCCCGTTGATTTATGACCAACGAAGTTTTAAGTGTCAACTTGATTGGATTGAGAGTACTGAAATAATTACCCTTCTTTGCTAGTTCATTCAGGAAAGAAGTAAACAGAGAAGAGTATAAACTTTAGGTAACAATTTCTCTCTAGCTTTTCTTTTGAAGATATTTGGAGATGGGACTAACTATTACTAATTATCTTTCCTTTTTGAATAAAAAGTCACATTTCTCATTAGTAATCATCACTCTGCTAAATTCCGAGCATAGTGAGGAATGGGATTGTTAATCTCTTCAGGAATGTGGATAGGGATGACTGGGCTGAAGACAGACTAAACACAGATATTGTCCCTGAGGCTGATAGTTATAGAGTCGTGTATACTACTTCCTTAATTGACTAAGTCTATGGACTGTTCTTATTTGCTTGGATTTATGATGCTGATTTGTTACTGACTTTTAATTTCAGGAAGTATTTTCTTTCATCAAGAAGTAAACAGAATGATTGGATCCGTTCTTACCAGAGGACTTGTGTATGTTTTGCCTTACAACTTATTCTCTTTCCCTTTTGAGTTTTACTTTATTCTTTTACTGGAAATTAGTCTTTTTTGCTTTTAAATATTTTTGCAGGATGATTTTTGGCTATGCTTATCCAGCATATGAATGCTATAAAACTGTTGAAATGAATAAGCCTGAGATTGAGCAACTACGCTTTTGGTGCCAGTATTGGTAGGTCTTGAATTGCTATTTTTTTCATTTAAGCTGTGTGAATATTATTTGTTTTGTAACTTTTGTTTTGTTTCCCCTTTTCTTTTCTGGTTTCAGGATATTGGTGGCTGTTTTGACTGTTTCTGAGAGAATTGGTGACGCTTTTATATCATGGTCAGGAACCATAAGACAGTATGTATGTTTTCATGTCTGTTTTTTTCTTTTCTCACTGTGCTCCCGTTTTTCATTTTGAAGGGTTCCAATGTACAGCGAAGCTAAGTTGGCATTCTTTATATATCTGTGGTACCCTAAAACAAGGGTAGGTGTATTACTTTTAAAGAAACAAGAACATTTACTTGTCCATCTATATATTGATGTTTGTTAATTGGTCATCTGTTTTCACGTGTCAGGGAACTTCTTATGTGTATGACTCCTTCTTTAGACCATATGTTGCGAAGCACGAAAATGAAATTGACCGTAACTTGTTGGAACTAAAGACTAGAGCTGGAGATTTGGTAGTTCTTTACTGGCAGAGAGCTGCAAGCTATGGTCAGACAAGAATTTTTGAGATCCTTCAGTATGTTGCTTCACAGTCAACCCCTAGACCTCACAATGCTCAGGTAGTGTTATCGAATTAAAATCAAACGTAGTTTGTGCTGCCACTATGTCCTCCTTTTGTGTTGCATGCAACAAACTTAGTTTGGTGAAACTGAAATTGGTTGTTATCTAAAAATGGTTTTCCCTGGTATTTGAAAATGTCCTCTCACTATCAGGCATTAAACTGTCTATACAGATAGATATAAAGTTTGGATATTAATTGACGTGTTTATAGCAATTGAAAAGCAATTAATTTTTTGATCTGGTTTATCTGTTGCTATGCATGATTCAATTATCCTGAAGTTTATTTCTCTTTTACCCGTAACTTCTGAATATGCAGGCACAAGGTGCTAGGGCTCGCCAACCCTCCAATGCACCAAACCGTCAATCATCTAGTAAAGCACAAGCAGCACAACCAGAGGCTGAAGAACCACCTTCACCAACAACTAGCACATCTTCAAGTCAACACCAAAAGGAAATTGCTGAAGTGGGAACTTCTAAGGTGCCTTCACATGTGGCTAAACCTCCCCCTTCAGCATCCTCAAATAGTCAAAAAGCAGATACTGCATCCGAGAATACCAGCCAGCCTGCAGAAACTGATACAGAAACAATGCAAATTGAACTGGTGCCACCTTCTCCAGGGAATGAAAGCACAAACCGACCCCCAAAAGAGACTCTCATGGATGAAAGCATTCGACTTACGCGTGGTAGATTAAGGAAAACCCGTTCTGCTGCCCATTAAAATAATGGTTTTAGCTCCTTTTCTTTTTAGTTTACATAACTAACACTTAGATCAATAGGTGTATAATGGTTGAATCATTGTTGTCGACATTGATGTAAATTTCTTTTCTTCTAGTTTCTATTTCATTTGTTGCTTTATTTTTTCAAACTGAAAATCCCGGGTCTTTGTGGCCAATCGATTCAACCCACAGATTTGGTGAGATGAAGATGTTTCGAGTAGGATATACAGATGCATTAGGTATTTAGGTGCCAAAAGATCTGTGACTAAAGCTTGGATGATAATGTGGATTCTGGAAATTGAAGTTCATCTTTCCTCCATCTCGATGTTTGAGAGATTTTCCAGGTACCGTTAACTTGATGCATTTTCGTACCCATTTGTTCAATTTATTTATTATTATTTTGTTGTGCTTTAGTCGTTTGGAAGTTGGTGAAAGAGTGAATTAGAGAAGGGCTAGTGATGGAAAAATCCTTGGCAAGAATACTTTGCTGTGCGGCTGCTGCATTGGTGTCCTTTTAAATCCGATTTGATCTGTTAGTTGAGATAGACAAAATAATCATAAAATATATATAGGTAGTGAAAAGATGTTAGATAATTTTTTATGGATTCTATTGTTCTGTTCAAGAAAATATTCGCAGAGAAGGGAGATGCTTTTAGCCATAAAAAAATGTTATGGGTCAGAATCTTTGATTAAAAGAATTTAAGTTACACCAAAGCTGATTAAGATGGACTTTATGGCGACACTGTCTGTAATTAATTCCTATAAAGTTGAAGTTTGGTTAAGGAAAGCATGTGACATTGCAAAGGGATAAAATAAAATTGCTTAACTTCACCGTTGCAGTAACAATTTTCTTTCCACTCTCTCTGCTTTTTCAGTTTCTATTTTCCTCTTCTCCTTCCTATTTTGAGGGATACTATGTTACAGAAGGGTTATGACAAAAGTTCAGCATGAAAAGAACAAAAAAGTTGACTCGTTGTAATCAATCACTAATCAATGGGTGAAGTATCTGACCATTTGACTCGACCGTTAGCGTATAACGTTCAACTTACATAAATAAAAAATAATGGGTGAATTTTTCCAGAAGCAGCTTCGTCGGCCCAAAGAATACTCATGAGGGGCCCTTCTTGGCCCAAATCTTGGTTGTTGGCCCCAAATTCGTTCCAATATCAAAGCAGTTTGGGCCACAACCAGCAGAATAGATGGTAATGTTTTTTTAGATAGATTTGACAATTCGAATATTATATTTGTGTTATATTTTATACAAAAATTATATATTAATTTGTGTCAACATAAAAACATAAAATATAAATTTTTTTATTTTATTAAATTTATTTATGATTTTTTTAAAATTTTAAGTTGTATTATTTTCATGTTTTTTATTTATATCGTTTTTATATCATATCATTAAATTGTGTTTCAAATTATCAAGTTCATTTTATGCACATTTATGCCATGGAGATCTTGAATTCAACTATAAGAAAAGATTCAAAAAATGTTCCGTTATCGTATCAAAAGATTTTAGACTAATAATAAATCAAAATAGTAATTTCTACTCCACCATATACCTCGTAAGGCATCATAGTGGATCAAGTCACAAATCTTTATCCCTCAAGCAAGCTGCGTTTTAAGACAGCTAGAAACTCAGAAAGAGAAACATGGGAGATCAGATAGCCAGTAGATCTAGTTTATCAAATTTATATCCTGACTTTGGACTGTTAATAATACTGTCAAACCTTTATTACATAGTTGCACTTATACTTGTAGGGGAATTACTTACGCTCTAGGCCATTAAAACCACTTGCAAAACTGAATTTGCTATTCTGATTCTTGGTACCTGTTTTATTTACCATTATAGTCTTTCTGGTGCAGGTGGTCTTGTATGGATCTGCGAATGGAATGCTCTGCAACATCCGGTTGGCTTCTGCATCTTTAGCTGCTTTTTATGGGGTGATTACATGCTTACGTTACAGACTCCAAGGCTAACCTGTGGCGACGATTCATTCAAACCATCAGATTTTAGAAAGTTTGCCAGATCACAGCTATGCAGGCTAAAGATTAGAAATATTCCACTTAAAAGTGTCATTCCCGCTTGATAATATATGGTACTTTAGTAATCTTTGCTTTCAAGCTGATTATATCGTGGGGCAATAACCCCTTGAAAATGAGCTTTCTTGTGGGGGTATGGGGTAAATACCCACAACATGTGCGTCACAGAGGAGCTTCAATTCCAGCTGATACGACTACTGGTTGCACTGATGGCTTCAAGTTGCTTGATTCATGTAAAACTAATCCAAATGTAGCTGTCGGAGATCTTGCGGGTGGGTCGTTCCTAAATGAAACATACATCGATTCCCGCAGCAACTCAAAGCAGCCCGAGTCAACCACATAACATTGCCGTCATTGTTGGCCCCTCTTCTCAAGTTTGATGATTACCTCCTCTGCTGTTAAATCCTTCACCTAAAAGTGGCCATAGTCTGTAAGCAATTACACGTTTGTTTGTACTACATGTAGCTGTATCATACCGTGTTCTCCTGCAAAATTTTAGCGTTTTAAATAGTTTGTTCTACACGGGTGAACTCAAACGTTCACTTGCACTGAGTTTTGGTGGTGTAATTTGGAAAGGATAGCCTCATATATGCATCTTTTTTCGACGGGTGATTATGTGAGTGTTAAATTCCCTAAATATTTCAACTATATTTCTTATTTTGGGCGACGAACATAAATTTGAGAGCAGTAACAGGACTGAAGACGAATCCAATGTAAAAGTTATCTCCTCATCAAAAGGGTTCAAATTCCTCATATAAGTCGAAAAACACTGAGGAGAAAGTTATCCACATTTTTCACGGGGGCATAGAAATGGACAGATACATAATCCGCAGGCCTGAGTTAACCATGCGCTTTTTCCAAATCTACAAATGACTTCTACATGACAATCTCAACTCCATGCTTATCCAAAGCTGGAATTTGCAACGCCAAAGAGATCAGCCAGTGCTATTACAAAGGAAATACGATTGTGGTTCTCTCCTTTTGGATCGCAGGGACAGCCCAAGTCGTAAGCAAGTGGCCCAATTCCCTACCCACATGAAAAGCCATTGACTAGTCACCCAGCGCAATGTCCGAAAGGCTCTTATCAACCGACAGGGATCAAAAGCTAGACCGTCGCCCAAAATACAAATTGTTAGGGAAAGGTCCCCTCACTCTCTTCAGTCTCCACCATTGCTTTCTCGCTCACCCTTTTGCACACGGAGCACTTTGTCTGTGGTCCTTGCGGTACGGTCAAGAACAGGTGTCTCCTGTACCTTTTCTCCGGTTTGTCTTTTGACTCCCATCCCCCACTACATTTCTGAACCCAATTTACTCTTTGAAAACAATCAATCATGAACAATTATTAGCCTAACATCTTTGCTGTTGCACGCCAGTCTTAGCTATCCATCATTAACATTTCAGGCATGCAATGACTAACTTCCGCTGAAAAAAACACCTTTTAACTTAATTGCAAGTACCATACCTTTAATTGGCATCTGACTACTCAGCCATACAATGCTAAATTAAGATAAAGGCATATCAGTATCCATTGAAAGAGAAAAACTTGCATGTTCTCAATTTTTATTGTTGTTGCATTTGGAATCGCATTTGAAGGATTCTCGTCGCACGTTGAAGTATCGTTTTAGCACTCCAATTCGGTGGGAATCCTTTTCCATCGAACCTCCAAATGCAGCTTTGAAATTACACCAGTACTTCCATTGTAGCTTAATTTCAAACTGAATTAAATGGTTTTTGTATGATAGTATAATCATGATGCAAAGCTTAAAGAACCTAAAAGAGGGTACTGAAAGTTGAGGAAATATTCTTTGCAGGACATTTCCTGTTTTATCTTCTGCTGGTTCTTCCCTGTTTCCTTGTCCATCCCTATCAACCTGTTTTGTTGAAAGCAATTGGTAACAACCCACGATTTCAAGTGAGGAAAACAATAATAAAATATACAGAATTAGCAATCATCGATATAGGAAGCTAATAAAGTTACTGACATTGTATGTCCAGGGTCGGATTCTAAATTAAACCAAGGAAAACAAAAAAGAATTCACAGCATGATATACAGCCGAATAAAATAAACTGTGGGTGACACTTGTCGTTCGAGCTTGCATCTACAAGGTTCTTCTTGCTGTGCATTGGGGTAAGAATCTATGGTCATAAATTGTCGATCATGTGTGAATGAATGCGACGAACGGTCAACGAGCAATGTCTGATTTTGCTGTGAAACCTAATTGTTGCTCCATTTCCCAGCTTAGCTTGGAGGCCACCCCAGAATGTTTCGGTTCATAGTCCTGAGTCAAAAGTAAAAAAGAAAGGACGGCTCAGATCATTTGACTTCACTTGACTATTGATCAGCAGTGTTGCAAGTGTGCCAGCTAAAGAGTTGCTATTGGCTAGGGAAGATTTGTTAAAATGTACCTCGAGCTTGCACATGAGTTCTTGGGCACTTTGGGCAGAGACAATTATGTCACGGGCTGCTGGTGCTATGAAACCTTCATCAACGGCCTTGTCTACGAACGACAAAAGTGAGTTGTAGTACCCATCAACATTCAACAGTCCCACCTGTTTCCAAAAATATAAAAAAAATCTCCTTTATTTCTACAATTTGGGTTTTTTAATTAAGATATATATATATATATATCTATGCACGTTTTTGGCATGTAAATCTCTGAATAATTGTGTTTGAGATTTCCATACATTCGATCAAATTAAGATGAAAAATAATGCTAGTTTGAACAGTTAGAAAAAAGAAAGCATAGTACAGGTTTGTCGTGGATTCCTAGCTGAGCCCAAGTGATCACTTCCAGGAGTTCTTCCAAGGTTCCATACCCACCTGATAATTGAAATTTGATCAGATCAATTATTAGTAAAAAGGAAAAAAGGAGTTGATTGACAGTTATGCCTAGAGTTATCTAAGGTAATAGTAACTTAGAAAAAGTCCCGTATGATTGAATCCAGATAAAACAGTTTGGATTTTAGAACAAACAAAAAGGCAGGCAATTGAAGTAAAGAAACAAACCTGGCAAGGCAATAAAGGCATCAGCTTGGCGAGCCATTTCAGCTTTACGTTGGTGCATTCCTGACACAGCTCTTACTTCTCCCACTGTCTCTCCTGTAATCTGAAATTTGCAACACGTGAGACTTAGTTTTCCAGCTATTATCTCAATTCTCAGATAAAGAATCGAAAATTTAAAACTTGACACTAAAAAATTCCTATTTGATAATCAAATGGGGGCCCCAAGTTCAGTGAGATTGAGTATGTTAAATCTTAAATTGTCTGCATATGGCTGGGAATAAGACTACTAACTTTTTGGTATAATGGCAGTGCTCATATGAATCTGAACTTAACCTTATTTTCAACTATACAAAAAAAAGGCTAAATACTGTTGATTTAATGATTTTTACCTCTCTTGGCATGAGAGTCTTGGGAATTACCCTACAAGAAAAAGGAAGCAATGAGTTACAATTAGAGACAGAATTAGAGAGGACCAGAAGCGTAGAGAGAGAGTGGACTTACCCCAACACGTGGCGACCACCATCAAAGACAGCTTGGGAAACCAGCCCCATCAAGCCAATGCTTCCCCCACCATACACCAAGTCAATGTTCCTTTCAACCTGCAGGTTTTATTTTTTCTACTATTAAACATATGTGTTTAATTTAAACATATTCCTACAATTTACCATTAGAAACAGTATAGTCACACTATTTTATTCGTTTCAGTCTTTTTAGTTTTAGCCATTAAAAACAGGATGACTTTGAACTCAGGTATCTGATCTCTTCTTTGCTGAAACTGATAAAACTCTTGAATTGGTATTAGAAAAGTAAAGAATATCAAACTTAAGCTACCAAAAGCATCTGGCTGTCCTAATCTTTGAGGTTCTTATTAAACAGCTTTGGTTTCTGTCAATTCAAAGATGAAGCCTTTTATTTCCATGAGTATCATTACAATCAAATTTCTTATGAAAAGTTAGACCACTAATTTTTTTTTAAATAGTTCAGGTTTGGCCAATGACTCAATTAAAAGGCCAAGAAGACTAAAAATACTTGGGATAAATCGCATGAATGCCAATTAGAGCTACTGATCGATTCTAGGAAGAGATGAAGAATAAAAGACAATTTAAAAAAAAAAGTCTTCGTCTCCATCTTTATAAACGGTAAGAGGTTTAGTTTGTACCAGTTGTTTGCCAAGCTGAATAGCAGCAAGCTGGTAGATAGGATTCTTGCCGGGGCTGCTACCACAAAAGACACAGACACGTCTGAATCTTGATTGCTGCTGTTGTTGTTGCTGGTGTTGGTGGTTGAGTTGTTGATTTTCCATAACAGGAAAGCCTTGAAACTGCTATGGTTTTGCTTCAAATAGTGATTTTTTTTTTCTTTTCTTTAAGGTATGCGAAAAGAACCCAAAAGGAAAGTGTTTGTTGCAGCAATCTCTTGAAAAACCAAAGCCCAAAAGTTAAAGGGGGGAATGAAATTGATGTCATTGGTCCCATTTTATATGAAGCCAATGCCCCCATTGCCCCCACAATCCAACACATCACGTCTCTCGACATCTCTCATCTCATGGTATACTCCCCAAACCGAATTTCACAACTATTACAGCTGAGGTTCAGCTTTCATTTTAATCCCCTTGTTTTCCGGATTCAACTACACCTCAATATGCGAGTTCTACTTCACACTTCAATTCACGAAAGAGACTCTCCGATTTAATGGCTCCCTTTAGCCTTCGCACACTTATCTAAGATGACCAACTTCACCTACTGAAAAAAGGAAACGTTAAATCTCAAATCTATTTTATTCTTCAAATTTAGTTAAATAAACTCTAAATGTATCATTTGCATGATTGAAAGTGGGTACATTCAATGTTTATGGCAAATCAAGTTACATCATTACTATTAGCTAAATTAGTGTGTAATTTATGTTTCATGCTTTTTTGTTAAAATGATTGGATAGCACTGCTGGTTGAACAAATTAGTCTTAAATGAAATTATTCTCTTGTACAAAATATTTTGATGTGACAACACTTTTATTGAGCAAGATGAAGACAAAATGAGATTAACAAATCAGAGCTCGACCACTTACTTTTGAAAATCAAAGTCTTTGGCCGAGGATCTTGGATTACTCAGTTGGTAAACAACATTATCCTAGTTTGATTAAACAGTTCAACTTTAGCATTTGATCTCATCACTTGGTGGTGTGGGTTTGGAGTCATTTTGGAACTTAACCCTTGGAAGAGTTATGCAATGGGACAATGGATCAATAATTTTTGAGAGAGAGATATCACCCTCTCATGTAAATTTGTCCTCTTGTAGTTGCTGTCCCACAAGATAGAGATTGTATACCACACATCTTCATCAATCAGCCCACTCTCAAATCCCAAATAAACTCTCTCTCTCTCTCTCTCTCTCTCTCTCTCTCTCTCTCATGTTAATGACTTACATGTAAATGAAAACAGGCTGCATGCAGCTAAGATAGAGATGGGGTGATTAAGAAGGTACAATCGGGCAACGAAAGGAATTGCGAATTGGAGAAGATATTAGATTTGATTTACAGGGAAACAATAGTTAAGAACAAGTCGATGGGGTGGACACGCGACACCATGACTTCTAGTCTCTCTCTTGGGGAAGGGTTCTGAAAAGTATTTAAAAAAAAAAAAACCTTTGATGAGATGAGAGAGAGAGAGAGAGCCCACATCTGTCAAGGGTTTCTGAGTCTCTCGTACGATCCATCGATGGAGTTGGGACTTTGGGAAGTTTAGATATGTGTAAAACAGCCGTGTTGGCGGTTGTAACCTATCCTCCTGTCTCAGATTGGACATAGACTGGGCCTTCCCTCTTTTTTTTAAATGACACACTAATTCGAAGTAAATAGGCTATTCAATCCAAGCCTTGCTTTTCACTTCAACTGCGTTTTTCTTCTCTATTCTATTGTTTTTCTCCCTTCCCAGTTATCATAAAACTACGATATAATCATAAACAAAGTGAGATGAGATACACGTCCTCAAGGGACCCAGTCTGGAAGATTCTCACACGAAATGGGAAGTCTAATTTTAAAATAAATAATTAATTAAATATATGCAGCTTTAACATGGATGATATGGATCTCATCCCATTGATCCAATCCAACTTACAAATTTTGTTGCTGCTGCTCTAAATATCTCGTACTCTGACCAATGGGGAGCAGAGGTATATGCCCACACAAGATTCCCCAGCTCCCCCTACCATGAATTCCTATACACTTATCCATAATGAAGCTGATGAGTGGGTTAAATTAAATCCTATATATATATATATATATATATAATGGATTTTTAATGAACATATGATTAATCTTATGTAAGTACAATTGGAATTAGTTTTTTGAAGTAATTACACACTTTCTTTAAATAAATTTTGCTAGTTAGGTAGGTTTATCATGTTATATAGATCTATAAATCTATCATTAGATATAGATTAAAAGAGTCATTATTAATTTTTTTGTTTATGTGTGATTTTTGATCGAATCTATCCACGAAACCAAATTTAAGTTTAGAAGTACGGTTATAGCACCCTTACAATATCCATATAAATGATGATATTAGTTTGATTTTAAATTATCTAAGTTTTAAAAATATTTATGTTTTATCAAAATATTTAATATTAAAAATTAGTCTTAAAATCATCATAATAGTTTAATAGTAATTTAAGATAATTATCTAACCTTATGAGTATTTATGGAGATTAGTGTCACACTCTGAAGGGATTTTGTTATCGGATTTATTTTATTCAGAAAAATTAGTAAAGTCTCCAATAATTTGGTAAGATTTACTTTAAGACAGATCTCCCAATAGTTTGATGAGATTTTATTTGAAAATATTTATAAAAATTTATTCTTTGAAAAAAGTTCATTACATCTCCCAATAGTTTAGTAAAACTTAATTTATTAAGCAATCCTCCAATAGTTTGGAGGATAAAAATTATTTTTTTTATTTTTTAAAAAATAATTTATGAAAATTTTCAATTGTTTGGTAGATTTCATTTAAAATTAAATCTATGAAAATTCTCAAATAATTTGATAGAATTCATGAATTTATTTTGTAAAGATTTTTATTTTTAATTTTGTTTTTTTAAAATTTTGTTGTTATATTTTTTCTGTTTTCTAGAAATAAAATTTTATTTTTTGCAGAACATTTAATAAATAATAAGTTATTCAATAAAATAAATAAGTAATAAAAATTAGTAAGATGATATAAAAATTGAAAATCAAATAAAATATAAAAAAAATCAAATCAAAAATTAAAATAAAAATAAAAATGCGATTGAGTCGGATCCAATTGTTGATGGTGTACGGATCTCAATCGGGTTACGCGTGGATCTGGGCTTGGTAAAACAACATCGTTGTGAAGCCTTATGAAAGCTAAGTTTTGCATTTTCCTTTCAGAAGTCCAGTGCTCTCTTTCTCTAACCCCAAAACGTTATAACCTCTCTCTAAAAAAGCCCAGAATTTCAACCAGAAATTGAAAAAATCTATCAATTTCTAAAAAATTGATAAGAATTTGATTGAAAAACCTAAACTTTGTCGAAAAATTTAATCGAAAAATTCAAATATTCATTCCAAAAACCCAGTTTTCCAAAAAAATTTAAAAATTCTCAAATTTCTCTAGATTACTTCAAAAACCCTCTAGAAATATAAACCTAATCCCAAAAACGAAAAATTTAATCAAAAAATTCAAATATTCACTCTAAAAACCCAATTTTCTAAAAAAATTTCAGAAATTCTTAGATTTCTCTAGATTACTTCAAAAACACTCTAGAAACATAAACCTAATCCCAAAAACCCAAATCTAAACCTAGAAACTTCAAATCAAACCCAGAATTTCCAAAAATCAAAATCCAAAAAATTTTCTACTATCTAAAAAATTTTTCAAAAAACATTGAGTTCACCTCTTCTCCAAAAATCAACCATTGTCTTATTCTCTAGAATTTTAGTCCAATTTATAGGCATCATTAAGAGAATCTTTAAGAAATGGACAGAACTAATCCAAGCTTAAATCTTAAGATTGGATTCTCCTTGAACCTCATTTTAGGTTTAGGTTCTTTGCTGATTTTTCTAAATCGAATTAAGAATCCTATGATTTGGTTCTGCATTGAAAACTATTAACTATTGAATTTCATTGATTTGGCTGATTCAAAGTTTCGATTTTCCAAAATTCTTGTCACCTATTAAACAAGAAAGAAAAAATAATAATAAAATAATAATAATAGTAATAATAATGATAATAGTAATAATAATGGTAATAATATAATATAACAAAATAATGATATAATATAATAGTAATGTAATAATAATAATAATAATAATAATAATAATAATAATAATAATATAGTATAGTAATGTAATACAAAAATAATGATAGTAAAAAAATTCGATTCGATAGACCTCCAACACAAATAGGTGTCTACAGCTGCTCATTTTTATATATCCTTATTATACAGAGATAATGCAAAGACTTAGACATCCACTCTATTTCAAGAATCAAGTCAACAAGCAAAAATAATTGAAACTGAGCCGTAAGTCAAGATAATAATTTAGACTGAGCTGAGATCAAACAGGTGATCAAGATTGTATCATGAATTGAAAAAATAAAATGATCTGGACTAAGCTAAGATCAAATCAGATGACCGAGATTGAGCTGTCAATCAAAAAAATAAAATGATCTAGACTGAGCTGAGATCAAAATAGGTGACCGAAATTGAGCCATAAGTAAAAAAAAAAATGATCTGAACTGAGTCAAAATCAAACGATTGGGACTGAGCTACAAGTCAAAAAAAATGATTTGGATTGAGTTATGATCAAATGATCGAGACTAAGCCACAAGTCTGAAAAATGGTATGGACTGACCCAAAATCGGATGATTGGGATGAAATCACAAGTCTAAAAGATGATCTGGATTGAGCCAAAATTAAATGACCGGGACTAAGCCACGATTGAATGATCAAGATAAAACCATAAGTTTAAAAGATGATATGGACTGAGCTAAAATCGGATGACCGAAATGAAACCATAAGTTTGAAAAATGATCTGAATTGAACTAAGATCGAATGATTAGGACAGAATCGTAAGTCTAAAAAAATGATCTGGACTGAGTCAAGATAAAAAAAGTGATAGATGATGATACAACGATGCAAATGTATATCATATCTAAGATAGAAATATGAACACAATGTGTGTAATGCTAATGTTACTAAATCAATACCATAAAGTTTCAATTACGGTAACAAGGTTCTTAAGATTCTACCATCTCATATTTTTTTTCAATTTTTTAACATCTCAAAACAAATTTTGTCAACCAATCTATGTCATTCTTCTCATTTGGTCATAACTCACAGATTATGTCACTCAATCTATCACTAAATTCATCACAGGGTCATCTTGTTTGCTCCTTATAAATCATTTTCTTAAGCTTCTTTCATTTATCTCATCTTGAATTTCTTTCAAAAGAATGAAAAACTCTTTATGAACATTGTTATTCATTTATTTGTCATCATTTAAATTAGTGATAAACATGATACATTTTTTTAGTTCATTCAAGGGATGTACATTTTGTAAAGAATAAGAAAAATGGGTTTTTATTATTGATAAAAATATGGTCGATAACAAATCAAGGGCATAATATTTTCACTTGTTCAAAAGGAATATCAGCATCCCAAAATAATGACTATTCAGATAATTATGAATTTTAACTTAGAATCCTCTTTCGAAAACACATTCCATTAATAGCTTTGGTCTTTAAGCCAATCATCATCCTCCTTATTGGGATCTTTATATGA